AAAAAAAATTAGTTTTTTTTTTAATCTCATTGCAAAATTGTGATCCAAAAGAGTTGTACCAGTACATAAATGTAACCATTTCATTATAACATCCCTAGCATTGACTTTTAATTTTTTTTAATCCCATGCTATTTTAATAGTGAGAATTGGTTTCATATTTTTATTGTATTTCTCAATTATGTGATTGGCCATGTTCTCATATATTTATTAATTACCATGTTTCATATCTTGTAAATGTTCTGCTTATATCCTTTGCTCATTTATTTGCTGGGAGTTTTAGTATGTTTTCTCATCAATTTTATGAGCTCCTAGTTAACAATCTCCTTTGTGATATTCTATTTGAGTAATTTTATCAGTCTTGTTGTTTCAGCATAAAGAAATCTGGGGTTTTGTATAAACACATTTATTGATGATTTATTTATGATTTTTTTTCTTTTTCTATTTAAAAACAAAAAGATTTTTCACTTGGAGATTTATAAATATGTTGAAATTATTCTGCTAGGCCGGGCATGGTGGCTCAAGCCTGTAATCACAGCACTTTGGGAGGCTGAGTCAAGAGGTTTGCCTGAATCCAGGGGTTCGAGACTAGCCTGGGCAACTTGTTGAGACCTCATCTCTACAATAAATCAAAAAATTTTCTAGGCATGGTGGTGTGTGCCTGTAGTTCCAGTAAGTGAAAGGTTGAGGCAGAAAGATCGCCTGAGCCCAGCAGGTGTAGGCTGTGGTGGCTGTGAGCGTGCCACTGCACTTACTCTCCAGCCTGGGCAACAGAGTGAAACTCAAAAAAAAATTATTCTGCTAGTTTTATGACTCCCTTGTTAACGTTATCTTTTTTAGTTCACCTTGTTGGTATTTTACATTAAATGAGTGTTAACTGAACTGTTTTCCAGTTTTCCCTCATCGTTTAGTAAATCTTTTCCTTCCTCTTTGATCTCTCATTTTCCCTTCTATAATTAACAGTGTTTGAGAACTTACTGTGTGCTAGCACTGTTCTAAACACTGCTAAGGAGGAAACAGAGGCACAGAGACCTAATTTGGTGAAGTTATACAGCTAATAAGTAAAGCCTAATCATATACTGAGTTCTTGTATGTACTGGGCTCTAATTGTGCTATCATTTCTATATTGAGATTATCTTCCTTTCTATTTTTATGCCACTATCATTCTTTCTTAATTATTGTGGCTGATATATGTTTCCCTCTCAAGAAAGACGAAAATAACTGTTTCTTTTTCTATTCTTGCCTCCAAAGTAAGTATTTTATTTCATGTTCCAAAAAGTTTCTCATTGGAATGTTTGTCAGAATTGGCTTAATCCATAAATTATACTGCAAATAATTATACCTGTACAACATCCCCTCAAAGTATGCCTCCCATACTTAGCCTTGGTTTTATTCCAGGTGCAGACTAAATATTTGTTGAGTTGATGAATGAATGAATGAGTAAATGAATGGAGAGACCTTATTTTATCATCTCCATCTAGTCTTTGTTTATATCTCTCATTAATGTTTTCTAACTTTTTTCCATTTGATCCTCCTTATTTCATGTGAATGTTATTTCTTAGCATCGTGTATTTTTTCCTATAATTTTCTATTGATTTGTTGCCAGCTTATGATAAAACCATTAATATTTCTATATTTATTTTCTTATTAGTTATTTACAGTTATTCTTCTGAAGATATCCTGAGGAATCCTTTGGAGATACAATTATTTAACCTGGTTTCTTATTTTCCAAATAATGTTCAAAGGATTGACAGTGGGCATCCTTGTTTTGATTATGATTTTATTAGAAATATAATTTACTTTTAATCAGCATGATGTTTGCTGCTAGTGGCCAATAATGCATTTTTACCTCGTTCTTAAAGTATATTTTATTTTCTTTTATTATTATTATTTTTTTGAGTTGGAGTCTCACTCTGTCGCCCAGACTGGAATGCAGTGGCCGCTCCCGGCCATCGCAGCCTCTACCTGCTGGGCTCCGGCGATCCTTCTGCCTCAGCCTTCCGAGTAACTGGAACTACAGGCACACGCTACCACGCCCGGCTGATTTTTTGATTTATTGTAGAGATGAGGTCTTGCTGCCCAGGCGAGTCTTGAACCCATGGGCTCAGGCGATCCACTCACCTCAGCCTCTCAAAGGCGGGGGATTACAGGCTGAGCCACCGAGCCCAGCTAAAGTATATTTTATAAGGGAAAATTTTGTAAAAGATTTCAGGTTGATTCTTGTCAGATATTTTTGATGTCAGTTAAAATAACTTGCTATTCCTTCATAGCGTTGTTACGAAAAATTGTTGAATGGCACGTATTTGTGATCTTTTAAGTTAGCCATAGAAGGCTTCTCATTCTGCTGTGATAAGTGAATGATTGTCTGACTTTGTTCTGGGTCCCTATTTCACTATTATCTAGACCTGAATTCTAGAAGTGGAAGAGCAGAGACTGAAGCAAATACATCCTGGGATTCCCTTGCTCTTAGAGTGTAGAGTTTGAGTGTTTCCATGTATGGGAATTTCTCATAATATTGAGCTTGGACATATAGATTTAATGATAAATCTAATAACAGCAACATTATTACATCTAGGAACTTGCCTGGGCCGAGACACTGTGAAGGCTTTTCACAAATTATGTTACTTAATCCTCAAAAAAAAAAGCCATCGTGAGCTCTGCTAGTCCATTTTGTAGATGTGGAAACTGACTTAGAGCAATGAAGTAACTTATCTAGGGTTGTACAGCTGAGAAATGACAGAAGCAAGTTACTTATAAAATAGAACCAAACCTTAGGGCTGGATGGATGCAGATAGATATAAATATATGTATATATAGGTATATGTATGTATATATGTGCATGTACATGTGTGTATATATGTATGTGTGTGTGTATTTGATGAATTTGAGAGAGAGATGCTAAGGACAAGTGCCTTTTTAAATGTTTATGGAACCCAGGAATATAGTAGTACTTGTCGTAGTGCAAATAATTGATCCCTCTTCTATTAGTAATGACATAATTTATTCCGAAGGAAGCATTATCAAACTATAGTCATCCCTCCTTATACATGAGGGGTTGGTTTCATGACCCCCATGTATGCCAAAATCCATGCATACTCAGTCTCAAAGTTGGTACTACGGAACCTGCTTTCCTGTGGGACCTGCTTATACGTATATGTGGTTTCACATCCCATTACTACTGTTATCTTTGATTTGTGTTTGGTTGAAAAAAAAATCTGTGTATAAGTGGACCCATGCAGTGTGGTTCAAGGGTCAACTATATTTTAAATAATACTTCTTTCTAAGGACTTAGAGTTTGAATAGTTGACATATGTGGTACTTGTAAATTACAAAGTTTCACTTTGCGTTTTGCAGACATGTCTGTAGGATTGACACAACCCATAGGTACTCCTAATGTGTAGTCTGTAATTTCACTTTCTTGTCACTTTTCCCCATAGGAATTCTAAGACAGCATTGAATTCATGGTGGCACCCTCAGAGTGGAAGATAGTTACCTCTAAGAAACCTACTTTCTGTGGAAATTTCTCCCTCCCTTCCTCCTTCTCTCTCTTCCTTCCTCCTCCTTCTCTCTCTCTCTCTCTGTCTCTCTCTCTCTGTCCCTCTCCCCTTTCCTCTCTCTCTCTTTCTGTGTGTGTGTGTGTGTGTGTGTGTGTGTGTGTGTGTGTATACTATGGATGGTGAAGGTACTAGATCAGTGTTTGGGAAGGTGTGGGGATAGCTTACCCATTTAGAGAGGTAATGCATTTTAAATCATTTAGGGGATTTTTTTCAAATAACCTCATTTCTTCATGGTGAGATTCCCTGACATAGTGAGCTAATCAGGTTTGCTGGGGCAGAAAAATATTCAAGAGCTACTGTACTAGACAACATAAAAGAGGAATTGTTTTGTTGAAGTGTAATGGTAATTTTTTGGTCCTTAAAAATAAATTAGAATGTTGTTACTTTTTGCTCTCTGAATAGAAATGTTCCTAAATCAGAAAAGAAGGCTATCAATATCTTAGGAGGGGGCATAACATTTCTTTGTGTACTTTTTCCCCAACTACAGAATGCTTGAAATTAGATTCTTCATTATGTCCCACAAATTAAATACCATATGTGTATCCTACCCATCTCAATTATGCTATTGTCCATTTTAATCTAGCCTGTTTCAGGGCTTCTTTTGCTGACTTTTAGCTATTACTTATATTTGTCACTAATTCATAAGGTGACTTGCTTTGGTGTTTGTAGAAAATACTCATTTTCTTCTAACTGGAGTCCCAGTGCAGTTTGATTTGGAGTGTCAAGGTTTGTTCTATGCCCAGCCGTCGTCCTTAGTCTGCTTCACTGGGTTCTCACCTGGTTGTAGCACCAAATGAATCCCATCTCTTCTACACTTCCTCTCTTCTCCTCCCCACTCTCTCCCTCAGGACTGCCCAAGTTTGTCAGAGTTCATGATTTTATACTTAAGCTAACTTTATTTTTAATTTAGGTTAAGTCAGATTCCAATTTCTGATGCAAAAATATTTATTTCCCTCTTCTTCATGTATTGGAATTTTAATTTTGTAAATATTAAAAGTTTTTATTAAATGTTCTGTTAACTTTGCACTGAAACTGCTTCTTTACATGTGTTTAAACTAAAACTTTTCATTATATGATGTTTTTTGTATTTAAATTCAAAAAACAAAGCCATTCAGCTTTCCTTATTAAAATGCAAAGCCTAGTGTCTTCTGGCTTTTTGAAGAGCTTTTGTCCATTATATAATCTGTAAAGTAGCCAAGAGTTCCTCAGAAGCAGGACATCATTTAGATTTAAAACAATTATGGGTTGTGTATAAAATAATGATGTGGCATAACCATTCATGGGGTAGCAACCATGACTTTACTTTAGTGGTAAAATTCTTGGACTCCACCATTTTATTTACCTTAAAGATTTTACTAAGGTACCCTAGCACAGAAATGGTTATTAGGTCATTTTGATTCTGCTGGATAGATTAAGTTGATATGACTAGAAAGCCAGATGACACTGTTATGAGCATAGACCTTTTATTTTTTTCCCAGATGTTTGACAGTGTAAACATACATAAAATACATATTAAAGTTTAGATGCTTTATATTTTGTGCAATAAATTGAAGCCTTAAAAAGAAAACATTTCATTAAAAAAAGAAACTCATTAGTTTTACTTAATTAAGACAGTAAAATAGCAGCAAGTACCAAGACATTGTGCACTTCTTTTATTTAAGACAAGTTAACTTCATTTACATCAGTCAGAAATGTAAGACTGACTTTCTTGAATACTTAATATAGCTTGAATCACTGGTTAGATAAGGGCATATTTTCCCAACTGTACATCAAGGAGGAGTGCTTTCATTAGTTTCAGAAGATGCAGACCCTCAGCCAGCCAGCATGACCACAACATTTAACATTAAAAGAAATGAAGTATTTACTTTCCAAGTATTTGCCACGGAAGGTAAGCGAGTCTTTACATTTGTGGTGGTCTCTTCCCTCCGTAAGTTAAGGGTTGTGCTTTGTTGAGGCATTTCAGAGAAATTATTTGGCATGCCACTAGTGATACTTAGGGTCATGGGAGTTGGGGATGATTTTGTTGAACTAGTGAGGCTTGTGTTTGTAACCATTCCATCTTGGAGATGAATAGTTAGAGTTGCAGCTGCTGCTTCATGTGAATTGATGGTTTCTGTGGATGTATCTTCTGGATAGGGCACAAAAGTCTTATCAGTGCTGCTAGTAAAGGTGGTGTCTTTGCTTAGAGTGGCACCAAACGTTGTTTCCTTTGTTCGATATTGTCTGGGTATTTTGGTTACTTTGGGTTGAGTTACCATACTCAGAGAGTTAATGGTGTCCACTGTTTGCATCCCACTTACAGTGAATAAGCTTGAGGTAAATCCCGAAGGTGTAGGATATATGTTATGTTCCTTTAAAGATGATATTTGGGTAGAACAGGGAGTCCCTATCACATGGGCTTTTGTTTCCATCATCCACTTCAATAAGTAAGTAATATTTTGTTTGTGGTCACATGACCACCTGTTATTGTGAAGGGTTATCTCTTGCAACTGAAAGAGTTGGTCAAAAGATTGGTCTGGGATGAATGTGAACTTATTGTTGTGCAGGTAAAGGTGTGTGAGATTTGTCAGGTTTATTAATGTTCCTGGAAGGATTTGTGTCAAGGAATTATTAGACAGGTCCACGATGTGTAGTTTGGAGGGCATGTTGGTTGGAACTGTCCAAAGTTTGTTACTACTGAGGTTGAGAACCTCGAGACTTCTTAGTGTATTTTTAATGAGGACAACCTTTTCCAGCATATTCTTAGAAACATCCAGATATTTAAGGTTCCAGTGATAAGCAGTATCAGATTTGTCAAGAAGTTTAATGTTGTTGTTAGCAGCAGACATGTTCCAGAGAGACCGAGGTAACTGAGCAGGCAGGCTTTCAAGCCTGTTGTTTGAAATGTCCAGGGTCCTCAGATTGGTATATTGGGTTAACTGGTTATGCAGATCAGTAAAGTGGTTATAAGACAGATTTAAATGTATGATATTCTCTTGCAGTCCAGATGGTAATGTAGTCAAGTTTCTGCCTGAACAGTCCACATGCCTGTGCCTCTCTGTGCATATACATTGGAGAGGACAAATGCATAAAATACCAGGTGTGAGAAACAGAAGGATGAACAAGCAGGGAGACATTTTCAATATCTGATATCCCATCAAAGCCTAGAAACAAACAGATACACCCTTCTTTTAATATGCAAATACAAATTAGGCATCTGCATGGGTCAGTTAGCATTAGGCAAAATTTTCAATAAACCTCGTTGTTGTTGAGTTCTTTTATAATTGTTCCAGTGATTAAACTAACAAAGCTCCCCTTCATTTATAGTCCAAATGCTTAATCCTTCAATTGGGGCTATGTGGTAGAGAGAGACTCTCTCTCCCCACTCTTTCCTGAATTTTCCCCTTTATTTTCTTCCCTCCACCCCACCTTTTAAACCACATTCTTTCTTTCTTATCTTCCCAGATCCTTAAAATGACAAAATAGCATTCTCTGCAAATAAAGAGTTGCAGTTTTAAGCTATTGCTATTTTTGATAATATGCTTTCTTACTCTGATGGGAAAAAATGGCTGTCGTGTCTCTTTCTCTCTCTCTCTCTCTCTCTCTCTCTCTCTCTCTCTCTCTCTCTCTCTTTAAATCTCTGCAGTAATGTAATAGTGTATATAGGGTAAGATTTTATTTAGGTTTTAAAGCAATTCTTTGGAATTTTATCTTTGCCTTTTTAGGATAAATACATCTCTGTAAAACATTTTGAGGCACTTGAAAAATTCAGACCAACACCATACCTTTAAACCTCATATTTTATAAAGTGATTTTTCCCATATATTTCAGTGCCAATTCTCAAGGAAAACAATGTATATATGTACAAAGTGAATGACTATTTAAAATAAATCCCTTAACTGACACTGCAGCAAATTTCTGGTGCATGCACTTCCTATTGAACATATATTCAATCCTAACGTTGACTTTTCCTTAAAAAAAAAAAAAAAAAAAAGAAAGAAGGAGAAGGAAAAAAATGCCCAAAATGTTCTTTTTACAGCTTACCATAGTGTCGTCTTCAACATCAGCATCTCATTTTCTCCGGGAAACTTAAAGCTTAAAGGTCGTCTTGTTCTGGAGAGTCGGAACCGATTCTGACTGTGGCTGTGCTTGCCTGCTCAGCTGCATTGTGTTGCTGTGAGCTGAAGCTCTGCAACCACCTGATCAGTACCACATAGGAGGACTGCAGAGCTGTCATTGGTGCTGACTCAAATTTATGGCAAGAGGTGCACACGCAACAAAATGGACAACATTTTTTTTTAATTGACAACGCTGAGAACACCTATATAGCTCAGATTTGCTAAGGGGTGAAATACCTCATGCATGTTAAAGCTGGCTCTTACTCTTTTCTGTGTATTTGCCTGAGCTTGGGTTCCACATTTTAAGATTTGCCTCATGAAGAATCTGATTCTTTTAGATGCTTCTACTCTTCATGATTTTTACATGTTGGAAATGAATTTGACCTTCCTCATGGATGGTTTTCTAATGCCAGTAAGATATTAATTCAACAGTTTTTAACTCCTGCCTTTTTATGTTCTTTTCTAAAATGTTACTATTGTCAAATCACTTAAAAAAAATAATAACATAATCTGTTTGATTTTTATATCCTCCTCCAACATGGTGATTATTATATCTAATCAGCTTTTCAAATATATCAACCTCCTAAATGTTTCATCGTCCCTTTCAGGAGTTACAGAAGTACTTAAATATGATTATTTTCTCTTATCTTTCTGATACAAAGGATCCTTTGATGAAGGCTACATACAAGTCAGGCTACACTTTAATATGGGCATCTGATGCTTTTAGTTATCAGTCCTGTGGTAAAATAAACATGTGTTATGTATTTGGGATTAAAGTTGTTTTTTTTCCCCCCTCTCTATGAAACTTACTTTGTATGGTAAGTGGCTGTGAGTATCGTTTTTTCCAAAGACATTTTTGGTATTCTATGAATGAGTACTTATTTGATTTTATGTTTTAAAAATAACAGTATCAAATTCAGATGATTTCTTCAGAGTGTTTTATATTTTGTCTTTCTGAGAAAGCAGTTTATAGTTTTTTTTGAGTTGGAGTCTCACTCTGTTGCCTAGACTGGAGTGCAGTGGCACGTTCCTGGCCACCACAGCCTCGACCTGCTGGGCTTCGGTGATCCTTCTGCCTCAGCCTTCCAAGTAGCTGGAACTACAGGCGCGCACTATCATGCCCGGTTAATTTTTGATTTATTGTAGAGATGAGGTCTCGCCAAATTGCCCAGGTGGATCTCGAACCCGCGGGCTCAGGCAATCTACTCACCTCAGCCTCCCAAAGCGTGGGATTATAGGCTGAGCCACTGAGCCCGACTCGTTTATAGTTTTAAAAATACATGAGATGATATAAAAGGGAAAACTTTGGTCATGAGTTTTATAAAATGAGATCAGATTTATAATAACTTCTACTCCATAGTGGATTAATTGAAAAATAATCTGTTAGTACTCAACTCTAATTTCTAGAATTGCCAATTTACCTTTAAAAAGCAGGCAAGTAAAGTTATGGTATTCTCATTACCAAATGGTCACCATTTAAAAAACAGCACATTACATGGAAGGAAAATTCCTTTATGCCTTGTTACTAAGTCCTATGTTTTTCTCTAAATTACATTTACCATTGTTTGGGTTGTACCCCAGATAGAATTTATTACTTTAGCATTTTAAGTTTATTTTCTTAGAAAAGAAACTACAGTAGTCACCTTTTGTATAAAGCCTATGTTCCTCAAAATGTATCTACATTTTTAAAGTTTACAACATCAGAAATGTATTATTGATTAGATGCTTTATTGCCACTTTATTTTGAGAGTTAAGTTGTACTCTTAATAATATTCTTTCTGTGGATTTCAGAAACCAGTCATCAATCATAGTGCTTAAAAGTTATGTGTTAAAAATACTACATTTAGCAATATTGTTGTAGAGGTAGGAAATGGTTGCATTGACATTTCCAGTTCTATCTCAGCTCCTGTATACACTGTTACACTTAAAGAAACATGATTGAGGGTCAATTTACTGACCACTTCTATCTCTCTTTTGAGTTTTAGGAAGTCCTTTTATGTCAGTGTGGAAATAGTTATCCATATGTTTTGTGACACTTAACAGTACTTTTGTTTGAAAGAAAGAACATGTTATTAACTAATGGATTCAAATGAATTTAGGTTTTGGCTATATTAATATGTACATGCATGTTGCTGTGTATAATAGAAAATTCCAATAAAATAGTAGTAGCATTATTTATCATTGCAAATTTGGGGACATACCAAGTTGCCTCATGTTATTTAAAGATTATTTTAAAGTTCTCCAAAAGGAAAAAGGAATCGTTTCAATATATTTGAATTATAACAATCTGTCATCTTACACTTTTAGAGATTCTCATGCAATAAAACAATAATCTATTACTATTATTTCAGAAAAACAGTAATTTTTAGAGGCTTAAGTGTTTCTTACAACTGCCATGCTTTTTTTTTTTTTTTTTGATTTGGAGTCTCACTCTGTTGGCCAGGCTGGGACACTCACAGCCATCCCAGCGTCAACCTGCTGGTCTCTGGCAATCCTTCCACCTCAGTCTTCCAAATAGCTGGAACTACAGCCGCACGCTACCACACCCGGCTAATTTTTTTTATTTATTGCAGAGACAAGGTTTCACCAAGTTGTCTGGGCTGATCTGAAACCTGTGGGCTCAGGCAGTCCTCTCTTGCCTTGGCCTCCCAAAGTGCTGGGATTACAAGCCAAGCCACCAAGCCCTGCCTGTTACAACTTTTAAAAAATATTATTCAGGCTCATTACATTTTAGATAAATCTGTCAGTTCAGTAATTACAGCTGTTTAGGTAACATTTATATTCTAGATTAAGCTGTAAGTTAATTTACATTTTTTTTGTGTCCTAGGATATATTATTCCAACATTGTGAAAGGTACACCTCCCAGGAATGGCTATCCCATATTAATAAATAGTTTGTTTTCCATTATTATAGATAACATTTGCTGTGCTTATTTGAGAGTTAAATATTGTCTATTTTTGGTAACATGTTAGGCTATTTAAAGTGAATTTCCTGTTGAATACAACTAAGAGTACTCTGTGAAGTATTTTAAAAGCATGGAAGCAGTAGCGCGATAGAAATGTTCTAGTCAAAATCCAAGTGAATCAGTACCTTTACTCACCTCCCTATGCCTTTTTTACCTATGCCACTGACTTGTTGCCAAAACTCAGTCACTAGTTCTCCTGTATGTCCCTCTTTCTCAATTTTTCTCTTTGCTTCTTGGAAAGATTTAATTTGTTCTTCTAGCCCCCATATATCCTATAAATTATTCCTAATATCATTGACACAATTGCTTATTTGCATCATCCCACAATAGTTTCAAATGATACTACTACTACTAATAATAATTATAATAATTAGATAGACTACTGAATAAAGTAAGATTTCTTTGTAGCTTTATTTGTTCTTACATTGTATTTCACTAAGGATGTATAGAACATTCTGTGTTCTGATGAAATAACTTTTCTGTATATTTTTATATAACCAACTTGACATTAAGTTAGGTTCACTTGTTTCAGTTAGTTTTCAGTTTTTCAAGATTGTTTAAGTCAAAATTATGTAACATGTGTTTGTATATTCAGAGAAATCTTGCTTCTGTCTTCTCCAACCCATTTCCTTCCTTCTATTAGTGACTTTTTTTAGCTTTTCATTGTATCATTAACAGTATTTCTTTTTGAAAACATACAAAAATATTTATGTGCATGTGTTACATATTCCTGTCCTCCCTTCTTATATAAAGGGTGACATTACACACACACACACACACACACACACACACACACACACACACAGTTGTACGTCTTGTTCTTTTTTTTTCTTACTATATCTTGAGGTTCATTCAGTATCCACAGGTATCTATCTCATTTATTTCATGATAATAGTACTTCATTTGGGAATGCACTATGGTTTATTCAACCACTTCCCTATTGGTGAGCATTGGGTTGTTTTCAGATTTTTGCTTTACAAATAATGCTATAGTGAATACCCTTGTGCCCAAATAATTTCATATTTTTACCAGTGAACTTTGGATTGCTAGGTAAAAGGGTAAATGCTTTTGGAATTTTTCCGGATAGTACTACATTCCTCTCCATCGACTATACCATTGTGCAGTCCCACCAGTATCAGGTTGTCTTGTTCTGTATAGCTGTAGACTTTGTTGTTGAACTTTGGGGTTTATGTCAATCTGATAGGTAAGTAACATCTCAGTGTAATTTTAAATGCATCTCTCTAGTTATGAGGAAGGCTGTATATCTTTACATGTGTTCTTAAAGACCATTTAAATTTTTTCTTCAGTGACTTTCATATGTTTTATACTTTTTTTCTTATTATGTTGTGGATCTTTTCCCCCACTGTATGTAGGAGCTTTTTAAACTTTAGAGATATTACTGCTTTTATCTTGGTTTAAGTTGTCATTTCTTTTTTCAGTTTGCCCTTTGTCTTTTGACTTTATTGTGGTGGTGGTGAAGTGTGTTTGACATTTAAAAGTTTCATATAATTTGATTTCCCTTTTTTCTTTATTGCTTCTGAACTTTGAGTCTCATGAAAACTTTTCCCACTTCCAGATTATAAAGGAATTCAACCTTTTTTTCTATTACTAGTATAATTTTATGGTTTATATTTAGATTTTTGTTCCACTTGGTGTGTATTCTAATGTAGAGTGAAGTATGGATCCAAGTTTTTTTTTTTCCAAGTGTCTATCCAGTTGTCCCAATGCTTGTTCCCACTGATTTGGTATATATTTCTGAACCTTCTGTTAATCCTATATGAATATCAGTGTTTTTATTATAGGTGTCCAAGTATTTTGCTATTTTACTTTTGTTTTTGTTTTTTTTTGAGTTGGAATCTCACTCTGTTGCCCAGACTGGCGTGCAGTGGCATGCTTTCAGCTACCGCAGCCTCAACCTGCTGGACTCTGGCGATCCTTCTGCCTCAGCCTTCCAAGTAGCTGGAACTACAGGCGCGCACTACCACGCCCAGCTAATTTTTTTGATTTACTGTAGAGATGAAGTCTCGCCAAGTTGCCCAGGTGGGTCTCGAACCCACGGTCTCAGGCAGTCCACTCACCTCAGCCTCCCAAAGCACGGGATTACAGGCTGAGCCACCGAACCCGGCTACTATTTTACTTTTTGATCAGAATTAGGTAATTGCAACAATTACTTTTCACCCTAATCGAATTTCTTGTGTTCCCCACCACTCAAACCAAATGGAAATACTTGTGTCAAGTGTGTATGTTTCATTGCATGAGGTAGGCGCTCTTTGGTCCTATATTAGTGAAAAGAGTGCTGGAGCAGTAGTCAGGGAGCAAACTCAACTTTTAGTGCCACTGCTAAACAAGTCACTTGCTTTCTCTGGTCCTATTTTCTCAGCAGTTAGCAAACAAAAGGAGTTGAACCAGACGGTCTTCAGGGTTGTTTGTGACTCTGGTTGATGCTAATCTGGTAAGAGCACGCCTAGTATGTGGAATGAAGCTCAATTTTGCCCTTTAAGGACCCCTGTGCCTTGTCCTTTTGCTGGATTCGTAAAATAAACTTGCTTTTCTGGATCTTAGTTCTTTAATCTTTTCTCTGAGTTTTTCTTTATTCCAGCATTTTCTTTTCCCCTGTATTTCTTTTATTAGCTTGCATTTCTTCCTGCTGATTAAGCAGAGATTGCCACTATTTGGCTGCTCAACTTCCATTGGCCTCAGTGGGGAAAATTGCATGCAGTAAATGTGAATTATTTCTCCCCCAGCTGCAAATTTCTTTTTAAAAACAAAGGCAGTGTGAAAGCCCAGATCCTACCAGTAGTCTGTCCTTCTGTTGCAAAGAACAGGAGAAAAACAGCCTGTAGTGTTTGAAGAAATCAGACAAAATTATGACTAGGTCATCAGTTCCTCTTTTGTTTTGTTTTGTTTTTATATAATAATTTTTTTTAAAACCACCACTCAGACCTCCCCAGGACTGGCCACAACTGACCCATTGATTGCTTCTAAGTGCACCTTGGTTAGGAGACCAGTCACGTTCCATTCCTATCTTACTGTGGCTTCTACAACAGGAGACCCACAGGATCCCATGTAATTGCTGCTTTGCTCCTCAGTAGGTTCAGATAGGAGAGTCCTGATCCCCGCCACTTAGCATGCTTAATGTGCCTTACAAACTTCAATATAACCGTCCCTTTCATACAGCTGAAGATGATTTTTGTGTAAACTGGAGGTCCCTCTTCCTTACAGTACTGTATTTCCGTGCCCAAGTGTGTTTAGAGGACTTAAAAACCCAAATTTCCCACCCCCTCACCCAAATCCCCCCCAAAAGGAAAAAAAGACAAAAAGAAAAGAAAAAACACCCTCATGGGGCCCTTTATGCAAATTATGTGCAGTGCCTTTTATTTTAAAATTAGTTGGCAAATGAGCAAGACCAACATCTGAAATCAGCTCCTCTTTTATCTAAGAGAGCTGATATTCCCTCTTTTCCCCTATATTTTCCATATTTCTTTTAGGAGAGAAGATGGTGAAAAGGAGCAAAATGTGGCAAGTGCTCGTTAGGTCACTGTCTTAAATATAAAATAAGAAGGCTTATGATGATTTAAAGCATGCCAAAGACTTGACCAGTTATAAAAATGTTACATATTATTTACCCTAACTAAAATACTTAAAATGCAAAGAATAATGGGAAATTCTTGAACTCCAGATTGCTGTTGGGTAAATTAGCCTTAAAAGTGCTAAGTTTAAAAAACACATGAAAGAAACTTTTTAATGTGGAAGGCTGAAGATGTAATGTAATATGACAATAAATGTCATGCTCATTCAGGAAAAGGAAGAAGCTCAAGGGAGCATTTCTATAGATAAAAAATTTTAATGGTCGGTAAAGATGGCTTGAAAGATTTAGAGTGAAGCATTATATATAAAATTCCAATTCCCAAAAACCTACTCATTTTTATTAAAGATGGAACTTTGTTAGTTTTTTGAATACCAGTGCTACAAATAAATACTATATTCTGTTGTGAAAATTCCAGAACAATTAGTGGTTCTCCAAGACTAAGCTAGCAATAAGGCTACCATATTTCATTTTAAGTGACTGTTTGCTCCTGGAGTTTGGGTAGGGCTAAGGAGGAAGAATATGTGCTTGTTGGTTAAAGGAGCATTTCTGCAAAAAACAGTCTGGTATCTCCACAAGTACACACCTATGACCAGTCTCCCACCTCGGCTTTGTAAAAGGTTGAGCCCATCACTACTCTAATAACTCAGATTTATTAATTGTCAGGCAATGGATAAAGGTGAAATTCTGCATGAGAATGGTGGTTTAAGAGTTTAGATATATAACATCAGAAAGTACAAGTTTAGTAAAAAGTTGAACATTATCTGTATTTTGAGTCTTTTTTCCCTGGAAAAATCAACCCAAATCACCCAAATTTGCGATGTAGTCATAGTTTCTTTCTTTTTTTTTTTTTCCTTCCTAAGACTTATTTTTGTTTGGGTGCTTACAAAGAAGAAACTTTAAAAAGAGACTAGTTTTAAAATTTTGTGCTCCCCCAACATGATAGGAAAATATTTGCATTTTATGGTGCATGCTTATATTTTTTTCAGGGTAAATGTTCCCAGGCCAACCCCCTAGTATAATGTTATATTTGTTTTATTATTTATTATTTTATTTTTATGTTATGTTTGTATTATTACTATGAAACTAAAAAGGAAAATTTCTCTGTTCTCAAACATGCATTCTAATCTATCCCCCCAAACTTGAAATATTTTGAGGTATTAATTTAGAATTTAGAGTATGTGTTTATTTGTTTACTCCTCCCCATCCCAAACTTTGAGATAGAAAAATAGAAGTTTATTTATTCAAGGTAAGCCTATACACAGCTTCTCAGGGGGGAAAAATCTATTGGGTAATAATAAGCATATGTAGCTTGCTTGTTTCAGAATGGTTAAGTTATTGACATATATAACATACAAATATGTAAAATAAACTATAGAGACAGGTACTATAATTACAGTGACAGGTAAATAGGTCACTGTTAAATAACTCTTTTTACAAAAAGTTCCATCTGTGCACCTGGGCTTTGAAAAGATGTCAGATTGTTCCTGAATAAAAATCACAATTGGCTAGCAATTGCATCTTATGTATTTCATCGCATAAAGAAAAGCAAAAGATGGAGTCACTTAAGAAAGAACAGCTAAAAAGCAAGTTGCAATATTTATAACAATTCTGCAGGTGGAAGTGGCAGGGATTCATCAAGATCTTGATTAGAGTCAAGAGGAATAGAGAACTCTTGACACTGGATCTCAATGTTGGAATCTTCTTGTACTGGTGGTAAGGGCAAGTTAAGTGAGTCAGGGGGAGGCGGAAATGACTGTCTGATATCAGATTTATGATCTTCACAGACTTGATTGAGACAGTCCAGAGATGGAGGGAGATTGGTAGAATCATTTGGAAGAGGAGATACAATTGTCACTGTGGGTTTCTCAGATTGATTATTCTCCTCCCCTTCCAAATCAAGAAGGGGAGGTGGTGGAGGCAGATCTGCATCATCCGAAGAAGAAACAGCAGTTCCAATTGTTGATCCACCAGCGCTATCCTCTGATGTACCATTTGCTTCATCTTTTATTTTCTCTGTTTTGAGGTTGGTGGGATCTTCAATGTTTTCACTTGATTCAAACAACTTAACTTCTAAGTCATCTGCTAAAAGTATGCTTTTGTTTGGTTTCCAGGTCATAAGTGAAATAATTGATGTACGTTTTGTGGATGCTTCATTTTCTCTGATGTTATCCATACATATGTCAGGGGTTTCTCCATCAGCAAATGGAGACCTACCTGCCCAGTTTTGATCATTTAAGACTGGCCTTCTTAAGCATTTCCATAGTACAATCATGATTATAGCTACCAACATAGAAGTCAGAATTACACCAATTAATATGGCAGCTACTGAATTAGAATTGGTTTTATGTGGGGGGTTTTTGTTACTGTTGGTTTCTAAGATAAATCCTGGTGTATTCCTATGTAAATTTTTGACAGTTGATGCTGATTGTGTGGATATATTATGAGTAGTCAGTGGTATAGGTCTTCTGGAAGGGGTATAGACAGGTGATGAGTGTTGAGTGGAATTATACACAAATGATGTTGGTGGTTGTCTGGTAGAATTATGGGTAGATCTCAGTAATTGTCTGGCAGAGGTGAACACAGGTAATGCTGTTTGCTGGGAGGAAATGCTGGCTGTTGGTATTGGTTGCTTGGTGACGTTGTAGGCAAGTGGTTGTCCAGAAGTGTGTGCTGCTGGTTCTCCAGAAGAGGCATAGACAGCTGGCATTGGTTGTCCAGCAGTGACTTTGGCAGGTGATATTGGTTGTCCAGAAGAAATGCTTTTAAATTGTGTTGGTTGACTCAAAGGTTTCCCTGTTGTGTTTGGAGAATCAGCCGAGACATATGGCATTGATGATCTAAATAAGGTAGTCTGTAGCTGCTTCTCTGTTGTAATTGCCTCTTTCTCTGAGAAAACTGTATTGTTCAGGTGTCCACAAAACAAAATTAAGACGAAATATTTGGGATCCATTTCAGAATGCTTCTTCCTTACCAGTGGCTTTATACCACAAGAAAGAAAAAAACAACATTTAGGTATCATTTGGTGTCTAGTTATATTTTACTTTTCATCTAGCATAAAGTAGGCAGGTACCTGGTTAGTGTTTGCTATTTCTAATTTAGACTTAACACACTGTAGGCAAGTGTAAACAACTCTTGAGTAGACTGTAACTCATTACACAGCATATGGACCTCATAGGCAGTGATCTCCCGTAATTCTTTTATAATATCTATACTTGGCCCTGCAGCCCTTCCTGTTTTATGACATTACAATCCTTCATCCCAGTTACACTTCTCAAAGTACATAGGCTCTGTATGCTGGGTCCATATGTTGTCTACTTTTTTCACCCTTTACTACTAGAAATAGATTCTGCTGCCTTGAAGAACACCCGTGGCCGTCTATTATCTCATCTGATTGTCTTTTCTTTCTTCTTTCTCTCTTTTTCTTCTCTCTTGGCCATATTTGACATTACTGACTATTCCTTTACTGATATTCGAGTAGCACTTGGTAATCAATCTTCCTTTCATTTTACTTTCACTAGCTCTTTTTTCTCTTGCCTTTATGGATACTTGAGGTTCAGTCCTCACCCTTAGCTACTTTTTTTTAGTTTCTGATTCTGTAAGATTTCAGTTTTCATCTTTATGCCATACCTCCCAAACCTGTACATCTAGCCTAAATCTTCTTTGCCCTAATTAAAGTTGTGTAACATCTACTGGATGTTTTCATGTATATATTCCACTATCAGCAAATTCAACATATTTAAAATGGAACTTACCTTACGTCTGAATCCTCTCCCAACATCTCTATTTCTGTTAATGACCCCACTAAGCTGCTTAGGCACAGAGTCTATTGTATTTGTAATCTTTGCTACATCCTCAGTGGCTAGCATGGTAAACCTTATATTAAAATTGCATTTTTTTTTTTTTTTATTGTAGAGATGAGGTCTTGCCAAGTTGCCCAGGCGGGTCTCGAACCCGTGGGCTCAGGCTAATCAGTTCAACTCAAAGTCCTAGACTCAAAATCCTAGAGTAATCTCTGATGTTGGTCAAGTCAATCCTGTCCAGTTGGTCAAGTGGTCCTGCAGCTACTTTCATTCATTTATTGGTGGACACTGATTTTGTGTGAGGCCCTGTTCTAGATTTAGGAGAGTTAAAAAAAAAAAAAGATAATTGCTGCCTTCAGGTGTTTCAGATTCTAGTGGTAAAAACAAATAAGTTTAAAAAAATGATTGTAATGAGTTTGGTTAGTTTTCTCCTAAAGTTATTCAGGAGATGCACAGAGAAACTAACTTAGCATGGGAAGGCTTCAGGGAAGGTTTCTCAGAGAAGCAAAACTTGAACTGAATCTTAGAAGACCTGTTAGAACTAATTAAACAAATTAGTACTCCAGCCAGAGGGAAAAGCATATGGACACAGGAAAAGAAGGCACGTGTGTGAATTTGGCAAGTAGGGCCTTTTGTGGAATGTGGTAGATGCGAAACTTGAGTTAAGTTCCAGTTCTGCTTCTCCCTCCTAACTATCCATCTAACCGTGAGAACTAGTCAGTCACTTGATCTCTCCTGTTCTCGATTTCCTTACCTCTGAAGTGAGGAGTTACACTAAAGCAGCTTTCAACTTTGAGTATAGCATACTTGTTTCACGCATCATCAAACACAATGGCAACTGACTGGCTGTTTCTTCAGGGAAAGGAAAATCTCAGCATATTAGATCCTGATATATATGATTAGAAACTGTAGTTCTTCTGAGTCATTGGTTTATCTAAGAGAGATTTGATAGTCTGTTACAAGGTGCAATAAAAAGTTTTGCAAATAAATATATTTTTCAGCATATTTGAGTAGTTTTCATTGCGTACTCTTCTACCACTTGGTGATGATAAATAACTGTTTTAGCAAAAGAAGAGATATGTAATTTTTTTTTGCTATGCTATCTAATACTTCAGGCTTAAATTTAAAAATAGTTGTCCCACACACTGCTGACAAATTAATCTTAAAAATGTGCATGATCAGGTTACTACTCCCTTTTTTGAGAGCTTTCCATTGTTGTTAAGATAAAACTTCTAAAGGGCATTTTCTTCCTTCTGACTTGAGTTAACTAGTGCAGACTCACATCTCAGCACTGAAACTTTTCATCCTACTAAATGCGCTCCTTCCGCATCTTATAGACTTTCTAAACACACACTTTTTTTTCCTAGACAGACACTTTTAATTATGATGCTTTTCATTCTTTTCGAGTGTATTCCTTTCCTGACTGTCTAAACCCATCCTCATCTTTCAGACCTCACTGTAAATTTCCCTTCTTAATCTAAGTTCTCTGTGACTGACTACAACCTAAGGAAATGAGCCATTCGCCAAATCCCCCTATTCTTATTGTCTTTAAGGTTGCTTACATATTTCTTTATGTATGTTCTTCACTCACACTTCTGTTCTCTTAAATGTGTTTTTTTTTTTAATTACTTTTCTCATTTTCTTATTATCTCTACCCCCTTGAATAAGATTATAAAGAACCTAGAAGCCAGGTACAGTGGCTCACACCTATCATTCTAGCACTTTGGGAGACTGAGGCAAAAGGATTGCTTGAGCCCAGGAGTTCAAGACCAGTTGGGACAACATAGTGAGACCTCATCTCTACAAAAATAAAAATATTAGCAAGCATAGTGGCATGTACCTGTAGTTCCAGCTCCTCAGGAGAACTGAGACTGAAGGATCACCTGAGCCCAAAAGGTTGAGGCTGTAGTGAGCCTGATCATGCCACTGCACTCCCGCCTGATCATGACCCCAACTCAGAAAAAGAAAAAAAAACCTTGAAGAAGGCAGAAAGAAGAAAGATAAAATACTTAATTTGGGACATATTATATATTATACTATCCCAAGTGTTTTATATACTTTATTTCATTTAACCTTTAAATGACTTTATGAGGAAGGTGAAGGGACCTTTTATTTACAGATAAAGAAACAAAATCAAATGAGTTAAACAATTTTCCCAATTGTGTATCAATACTGTGACAGAGAACTTGTTCCCAGGACCATCTGATTCCAAAGCATGCCCTCTTTCTACTACCCCATACTGCCTCAGGATTTTTATCTTATCTTTTTTTTTTTTTTTTTTTTGAGTCAGAGTCTCACTCTGCCACCTCAGCCTCAACCTGCTGGGCTCCGGCGATCCTTCCGCCTCAGCCTTCCAAGTAGCTGGAACTACAGGCGCATGCTACCACACCCGGCTAATTTTTGATTTATTGTAGAGATGAGGTCTCGCCAAGTTGCCCAGGTGGGTCTCGAGCCCATGGTCTCAGGCAATCCACTCAGCCTCCCAAAGCGTGGGATTACAGGCTGAGCCACTGAGCCGGTTTATCGTATCTTTTGATTTCTCCACAATATGTTGCCTTATATATTAAGAGCTGTGTAAATATTTAACCTGGGCTTCTTGATTTGTTTCCATTTCACTTTTTATCAGTGCTTCTACCAGAATGTAAACAGAGGGTAAAATCTAAGTCCATAAATTCTGCTTTTTATCCATTTTGCAAAAGGTTTAAAAGAGAAAACTTTGAAACTTTTGGCATAGATACAGGGATTTGAATCCTCTAGATAGTAATCATCTGTGCAGTTTCTACCCCTTATTCTTATAGATTGCCCAAAAAATAGCCTTGTTAGAAAATGTTATTTTCCAGAGTTTCATTTTTTTTAAAAAAAATTTTTTTTAATGCTATCCAAAGCATCAGAAAATATGGGCCATGAATTGTCTTCAGCCAAAAAATGTTTCCTCTTTTGTGACTTTGCTTAAAATAAAGAAACCACATGGTTCCTGTTTTTAGTTAGCTGAAAAGGCATTAGTGAAGGAAAGAGCCCAAACAGGAACATAATTATGAACCCAGTTTAGTTTGTAAGATTAATTTTGATAGGTTTCTAGCCTCTTATGTCAGTAGGAAGTTGGTAGAATCTTCAGTGTATGAGATTTTCACGGTCATTTAGGGGCTACAATAATATTAAAACCAAATTACATGTGTGGGCTCTTCTACAACTTTCTCCTACTCTTCAGTTAGCTTTTTACCCTCCTAAGATCTGCTACAACAGGATACTAGAATCTGAATTGGAATCCTACTATAGCAATTAGCAGAGTCTATAAAAGAATGAGAACGATTTAAAAGAATAAATAGGATATATAATCGTGAAAAACACCTGACTTTTTTCCAGAGGTAGTGAAGCCAGTGTTATTACCAGTATAGATAGTTATTCAGCATGCATATTTTTAATGTATATAAGTGGTATGTACCTGAACTACAAGCATAGTTTCTGTAGGGAAAGAACAATGGGCAGGGGAATAAAATGGAGAAGAAAATTTAGGATAAAGTGAAATGAAAAAAACAATGGACAGAAATGCAAAATAACACAAAAGAGAAAAATAAAACAAAAATTACAGGAAGCAGCAAATATATGGAAAGGGGGAGGTCAATTTTCTAGAGAAGGCATTCAAAAAAAGAAAAGTTCATAAACAGTTGGAAAAGAGTAGTTTTGTAATTGGCAAGAAGTTAGGGTACAGAATTGAAATGGGTAAAACAAGTTGGGGGAGAAGACTGAAGAAGATCAAAGAAGCAGCCACAAAATGCTGCTCCCTGTCACCTGGCTGGGTTTGTGGGTACTGAAAGCAGCACAGAGGGGCTGTCTCTTCAAAATGGAGGACCAGGACGAACCATTCTTTCAGACTCACTTATCTTTCATTTCAGGTCCTCCTGTCTTCTGTGAGTGTTGTCCTTAAGATTCATTCTCATTCATTCATTCATTCATTCATCCTCCCTCCCTCCTCTCTTGCTTCCCTTCTCCACCCCCATCTTTTCCAGGAACTATCCAGAAGCACACCCAGTAATTGCTCCAAAGAACCTGTATTCATTTTGGGTGGGATTTTTCTAGAGACTCCTTATTCTGCTTCTCTGGCAAATACCAAATTGGTCTGCCTTCTTATGGCAGTATTTTACTCATTATTTTAGGCTGGCACTTGGAAGTTTAAATCTTTGATTTTGGTCTTTTACTTTTCCGAATACTTAAAAATTTTTAAAAATTAGAATAGTAACAAATTGTAAAATTTTTCATGATAAGAACTCTCAACAAAATATAAACTGCTTTAACTAAGCATTTTAAAAGCAGTTAGTGTAAAGCAGGAGTCTCATGTATCACACCTGTTCTTATATATACAGTGCATAAGTACATAAAGGATCTAGAATTTAAAATTGATGCTGTTAAGTTGGATATGATAAGAAACATATCACTGACCTCTACAGGAGTCAAGGAGATTTGAAGGGTATATCCTAGACAAAAAGGCAAGTGTAGGTGGCAGTATCAAAAATAATAACATATTCCAGTTACTTTGATATAATAAGAGCAAGCTATAATGCAAATAGATTAAAATTTAGCCATAGTAGAATCACCAACTAGTGCATTTTGAAACCCTAAAAGGAAGAAAACTGCAATTCTGTATATTGAGGAAGAGAAGGAAGGGAAATTGACCTTGAACTGCAATAGAAAGTATTTGGTGACCATCTTTAATCAATAAGAATAGTTACTTTTTACTGAGCACTCCCATCCCCAATGCTAGGCATTATTCTATTTTAATGAGCAAAGTGGTGGTAGTTTCATCTTACAGATAAGGAATCTAAAACACAGAGAAGCTGGATAACTTGGCAGAGTGTCACAGCTCTAAGTATTAGCGCTATTACAAAAACCATGTCATTCTTGTTCCAGAGCCCTTTCCTTGGATTACATGTCACTATATGTGCTGCACTGCCTTTCATAGTAGAGTTATAAAATAGAAATGCTTTATGAAGGAAGGAGATCTGAACTCTCTGGGAATGATATGTAAGTAACCTTTGGAGGTAGTCTCACTTAAAGGGTAGGAAAAGAAATACCAGAAAACCCATTTTAATCCTGTGGTTCTATGAAAAAATTCTAGAAATCTTGAATGGCTAGCTTAAACTGTCATATTTAGTAAGTTTACAGAATAATTTGTGGTGATTTTTAAAGCTTGGATATTGAAAGCTATCAATTTATGTTTCGCAATTCTAACTTATTCAGGATTAATAATTTCTTTCCAAGTTAAACTATGTAGGAATTAGTTGAAAAACACATTCTATTAAACTTTAAATTTGGGACTAATTCTTTAAAAACATTATGGGGTTCTGTGATGACAAAGACACCAATGTCAAAGATTCATGGGAAATTTTTGAATTAAATTATTTTTTGAAATACGAGAATGAAACATTTAATATAATTTTATTATTTATAATGATGAAATAAACTAAGTATTAGAAGCAGAACAATGTGTAGACTTATCTTAAAAAGAGTTAAAAATCTAGATCGGTACCGTGACTCAGGCATATAGTCCTAGCATTTGGAGGCTGAGATGGGAGGATTGCTTGAGACCAGGAGTTTGAGACAACATAGCAAGAACCATCTCTACAAAAAAGAAAAAAAAATCTTCTAACCTCTAATAGTTAGTTGGAAAAAATCCAAAATGGACTTCCATAGGCAAAATCATATGTATTTTTGAAGTGTTGAAACAAGATATTACCCACTATGAACTTATTATTCCTGAAATTACAGGTCTGTATAAAAAACTCTTTGCAATTTTATTTAGAGAACAATGATACTTTGTAATTGCCCAGTTTACCCACATAGTAAACATCTTTTATGCTTATTAACAATTTTCTATTGTTCCGTGAGTGCTATTTCCCATATCTTACACAATTTTCTAATGGTTCAAATAGTAATATGTAGCATAAACCTGTAGATGATATGAATATATGTCTGCATGTTTAATCATAACATTTTTGACTTAGTAGGCTTTAAAAATGAGCTATAATGTTTTCATGTCACCATTACTTAAAGTTTGATTTCTGTAAAAAATAAAGCCATAAATGCAGTCATAACCCATGGAATCTAGTTTTATTTCTGACCCTTAGCTTTATCTGCCATGGCTGTAGTTTATTTTAATTAACAAATATTATGACTAAGATTAACAAATATTATGACTGAATAAACGTTAAAGATCTTGTATAAACCTAGGTGAAAATTTTTCTCTGAAGCAAATTCCACACTGAATATTTTTTAGTTCCATGCAGCAAAGCCACCAAAACCTGTTACAGACATCTTTAGACTAGCAGAGTTGAATTTCAATTTAAAACTCTAATGATATTTTAGTTTTTAAAATAAATTTTATATAAAGTAAGATTAAACCAAATTGCCTATGTGAAAATTTTCTTACCTCAGCTCTTAACTTCTTTTGCAGAATGCAAAATTCTTGTTCTAACTGGACATTTTGGTGATTTGGCTAAGAAAGCAAAAGGGGTGTTTCAATCAGATTAAAGATGGTTCTCTCACAAGCTGAAATAGTTCTATAAAAAAAGAGGAAGTTTATCAATAGCTACTTCCGGAAGTGAAATAAGCCACAAAATGACTAAGTAATGTATTGCCTTAACAGAACTTATTTTGAAACACAGTTTGGAGCTATATGATTTGAGTGCTTTTAATTAATGTTTGTAAGTAAATGCTTGAGATTGTCTAGTAATATGATTATAGACTCTAAATATTTAGAGTAGAGCCCTGGAGAGAAAATGGTATGTTCTAAGGAAAAGCTGCCAATTGGGTTATTACTCATAGTGAGATTTCTTTTTATGAGAAGTTAGTGATGTGTTCTGTTTACTTGTATGACCTTAGGCAAGTCACTGTGCTTCTGAGTCACTGTTTCCTCCTCTGAAGGAATATTTCCCTTATTGGGTTATTGTGAAGATTAAATATGATAGCATAACATCACACATATAAATGTCTCACACAGAGTAGGTAACCAGTAAATGTTTATGCTATTTCTTCAGACATAATACAGGCAAAGTCCAGGTAAATGTATATTAAATTATTTTGACCAAACACTTTACTAAATGATTTTTTAAATTTAACTTCACAACTATTTATGTGATTACCCACAAAATAGGTATTTCTCAGCAGAACATAGAATAAATTGGGAATCACTTTTTAAATAAGAAGTTAGCTACACAAAGTATATTGAAAAAAGTATGAGTCCATCTGAATAAAAATTCCTTTGAGCAAGTCACCTTCCAACCTCTTTCTTCTCCTGAAAAATGGAGATCATAATTCCTGATTTGTAAATTATTATGGAATTAAATAAATGTTAAAGTACCTTACATAGTTCATAGTTTAGTAGACACAGTAAGTAGTAATACATGTGCTGTTTTGCCCTGGCCACTGCTAGAGGAACACAAATTATGACCTAGTTCTTAACGTCAGGGTACTTACAACTTGGTACAAAAATAATAGGCTTTTTTTTAAGGGCTCTGCCTATATAGCATAATATAATCAAATACTATAAAGCTTTTGATTCACTTTTTTTTTTTGGAGTCAGGAGTCTCACTCTGTCACCCAGGCTGGAGTGCAGTGGCGTGACCATGGCTCACTGCAATCTTGACCTCCTGGATTCAGCGGAACCTTCCACTTCAGCCTCCCAAGTGGCTGGAACTACAGGTGTATGCCACTATGCCAAGCTAATTTTTTAAAATTTCTTTTGTAGAGATGAGATCTCACTATGTTGACTAGGCTGGTCTCAAACTCCTAGGCTCAAGAAATTCTCCTGTCTTGGCTTCCCAAAGTTCTGGGATTACAGACAGACGTGAGCCACTGCACCTGGCTATTCACTGTTTTAAATCTGTTTTTAAATTAACCTGGTGAATCATAATACCCAGGGGTAGAAAATAAAGGTGCTTTTGTTCAAAAAGGACTTTTACATTTCAGGGATATCTTACTCACCATTTTTAAATACCTGTTATTTGGAAAGGAACCACATCTTTTTGTTCATGAACTGTCATTGAATAGTATCATTCTGAGGGTGTGTGTTTAATAGCCAAGGTAGTGAGTGGTGTATTTTAAATCTTCCTGCAATAGAAGCTCTCTGTTTGGAGAGAAAATGTTTGACCAGTATATTGAATATGAAAGTAATTTCCTTGTTAATGTCTTATTTTTACAAAAATCCAAACTTGTTTTTATTTTCTCTGACAAGTAATTATTTGTGACACTTTATTAAAGGAGTGCTTTTATTGTTACCATGTGTTCTGGTGCACAATCCAAATTTTTAATTTTTGCACAAAATGGGAGCTCTGCCCAACTTCATTTCTAATCTGGGCCATTTTACTTCTCAAAAGATAACCTGATATCACCACGACTGGCATGAGTATTCTCATGCTTTCCTTTTTATTTTGTTGACATTTAGCTTAATCTGGAATAATATGGTTATGATTTATTGTTTAGGAAATAGTTTTTTATAATTTTTATTTTTAAATTTTTTATTTTAAAGATGGGTAAAATTCAGGGTTAGGTATACAAATGTTCATTATGTACGTACCCCTGTTGATGAGGTATGCCCCCCCACACACACACACCTCCCCTGGCAGTTTCCCTCAACTGCTAATCTACCCCATCTCCCCTGGCAGTTTCTCACTACTGCCAATCCCTTTCTTATAGTATTATGATAAATGTTCAAGGTCTGCTTATGGTACTCTGTTCTTGTTTCTGTGATAGATCACTGAGTATGATAGACTCTAAATCCACCCAGGTTGCTGCAAAGTCCATATGTTTGTCCTTCTTTATGGCTGCATAGTATTCCATTGTGTATATGTACCACATTTTTAAAATCCAGTCCAACTTCGATGGGCAGCATGGTTGGTTCCATGTTTTTGCTATTGTGAATAGAGCTGCAACAAACATGTGTGTGCGGGTATCTATTTTGTAGATTGATTTTAGTTCCTCCAGGTGTATTCCCAATAGGGGGATTGCCTAGGTCATATGGAAGGTCAATTTCTAGTTCTTTCAGAAATCGCCACCTGCCTTCCAAAGAGATTGCACTAATTTGCATTCCTACCTGCAGTGTAGAAGCGTTCCTTTTTTTCCACATCCTCACCAAGGAGTAGTTATTTTTTACAAATTGGTAACAAATTGATAATAAAATTGATGTTTTAATTTTTTTCCTCTCATTTTAAGATGTAATCTAGATGTTTGAAGCCATGAAACTTGTAAGAAGTTAATTTGGTGACCAAGATCACTGTCACCTAGGGGATTATGTAAAAATTCCCAATGCTTGGCACTCACCCCATTCCAACTGAATGAAAAGAAGGCTATGGGAACTAGACTTTGGTATTTTTAAAAAAAACTCTTTAGGTGATTCTGATATGCAGCCAGGGTGAGAATTACTAGCCCAGAAGACAGAGTAAGATTGTAGTCATACTTAGGAAAAAATACATAAAACATTCCTTAATGTTTAACATTCCTTAAATGTCTAGCCTATTACCCAAAATAACTGCTCAATAGGGATGAGATTTTTATATTTTTATTTGATATGTGGCCTGGCATTTAATTAGGAAGCCCATGTCAGTTTCAGTAGATATTTGGAAAAATCTCTCAAACCAATTTTTGTAATATATTTAATTGAAGATAAGGGTCTTGACTTAAATGTAAGTCATTACCAATTTTCTTTAAAGATTAAACAACTAGCCGGGCTTGGTGGCTCAGCCTGTAATCCCACGCCTTTGGGAAGCTGAGGTGAGTGAATTGCCCAAGCCCACGGGTTCAAGACCTGCCTGGGCAACTTGGCGAGACCTCATCTCTACAATAAATCAAAAAATTAGCTGGGCATGGTAGCGTACGTCTGTAGTTCCAGCTACTCAGAAGGCTGAGGCGGAAGCATCACCAGAGCCCAGCAGGTCGAGGCTGCGCTGGCCAGGAGTGTGCCACTGCCCTCCAGCCTGGGCAACAGAGTGAGACTCCAATTCAAAAAAAAATAAAAAATTAAACAACTACCAAAAATATCCTGTTTTCCAAACTTGAACAAACATATAGACATATACACACACACAGACACTTTTTTTTTTTTTTTTCTCATGTCACATTGGATAGTAAAAAATAAAATTGATCATTTATTAGGCTACTTGACATCCATGAAGTCCAAAAATTAATTAACATTTGGGTACTTGTTGCTAATGTTTCAGTAAACAGTATTTAAAGAAAAGATGAATGTTTCCCTCAAGCAGTAAAATGTACTTTACATTTATGCTTTGCCTATTGGTATAGTTATATATCTTATCTATTTTAGTTGATCTGTTTTGTCTTAGTTGATCTGGTTTAGCTATCTTACCTGTTTCTTATTGGTCTTTACAGTATGTTCTCTAAGATAATAAACTTAATGCAAATATATATAGTCAGGTTTATTCTAACAAGTTTTAATGTATTATGCAAAATTAAAAGTTTTAATTTAGTATTTATAGTAAAAAAACACATTCTTACGTGTGTTGTATGTAAAGATGAAAGCATCTAGTCTAAAGTTAGTTGTGTTGATTGAGCTGGTGTAGGTTCTGCCACACCCAACAAAGGTACCATTAAATTATACAGTCCAACTGTATGCGTTAGGAATCTGACTTCTGTTAGATGCTGAAGCATATGCTTGGCTCTAAGGGCATACCGAAACTCTTCAGAGTTTAATTACATTCAGACAAAGATTATCTAACTGCTGTTATTGAATAGGGAATATTTATTGCATTATTCCTTGCTATCTCTATTAATCTGTTTCCTCAATTTATCTTTAAAACCTTCCTCAAATGCTTGTTTTGTTATTTGCTTTTTAAAATAGTCAGTGTCAAAACAAAACCACACAGTTTAAATAGTGAAGTACACAGACGTACCTCTTCCCTTCTCGCCTGCATGATTCTACATTGCAAGGCCTACCCATGGTGGGTTTTATTTAGATCGGCAGACCAACACTTTGAATTCATTTTTACTCCATAACCTTTCTCATTGCTACTTTGCATTTTTCTTCACTAAACCATCTGTTAGTTAGTAAGTTTTTCAGTTCCTTCTTCATCTTTCCTTTCCCGTGTAGCTGTGAGCACTCCAGCAGATTGCATCATGAGGTTGGGTCCTGTGAGCTGCTTTGCTCTTTTCCAAGTGTCTGATTCAGCAGACCATAGACCACTGCTTGCCAGAAAATCGCCATTGCTTCTAGGCTGCCGCTTGCCTACTTGTTTTGCTTGTCTGAGAGATGAGACTTTGTTTGCTAGAACCACAGTTGATAGAAATAGAAGGGTACAAATAAGAAAAAGCACTGCAATTATAATTAAGCAAATCAGCATCGCCATGTTGTTGTTGTTTTCCTCACAGACTTCCTTTTTGAAAATTTCACTGTGACTTTTGCTGGTGTTTTCGCTGCTCTGTGCTGTTGGAGAGCTGTGCCTGACAGTGTAAAGTTCCTGATCAGATTTAGAAGTTAAAGACACGGTATGAGGTGTTGCTGTTTCAGGCAGGTTTACAGAATTGCCTTTATAATCGACTTCAGGAGTTACAGAGTTTGTGTTAACGCTTTCATTTTGGCTTCTGCCTGTCTTGTTTTGAATAGCCGAATCCCAGGCAGTAGTAGTGTTAGGCCACAGATAGTTATAGTTTGCTTTTGTTCCAGGAGACAAAGAAAAAACTGTTGTCATCAGAAAGGCAAAATGCAGGTAGCGTCCTATGTGTTCCATGTCCATGAGTAGACTGACCAACTGTTGGGATAGCAATATAGTTTGTTAATTTGTGAAAGAATACTGTTCCTAGTTTGGGTAATTGTAGTTAAAGATAGTTGAGATGTTACAAGTAAGCTACACGCCTAACGTGTGCTAACTACCTGTTTGAATTCCTTCTCAACTGATTTTTTTCTATTATTCTTAGACTTTGTATAAAGAAGGAATTTAATTTCTATTATACTCTCAGATGCTAGAAGTTAGCATTACAAATAACTAATAATTATTTTAAACTGAACATCATAGCTTTATATAGTTTTCTCTCTTTTAACAGTCTAGACTTCTGCTTTGAGTCAGATACTTCTGCTTTTATTTTTTGATTCCTCCTTTAAAAAGAAAAAATCATTTCTTGCAGAAACTTCCCCACCTTCTAACTAACCTATCATCCATCTTTATAGTAAAGAATAAATGTGACCTTGAGCATCTTGTTTCGTGTATGAAAAGAAAATGCAATTTTTTTGGTGGGGAGTGGGGGTAGCAACCAAAAGAAAGTAGACTACAAATAGGAATTCAGGGTTTTCTTTTTTTCTTCTTAGGTGTTTATCTTGATGCTTAGAATAAAGCTGGTACTTAGAAATATATTCCTAGTATTTGTGAAAGCAGTTTTAAGGTATTGGTTCTCTTTTTTTACCTCTATTTCCCTTAACTTACTGTGACTTTCTGAAAGCAAAGACATGCTAGTTTTCTCAATTTAAAAACAGCAAAACACAGAAAAAGCAGTAGTTTTATTCTGAATAATCTTCAAAGTTCAGTAAAAGTTGTGGCTTTTTTCAGCATTTTTGTCTGGCTGTGATATAATTCTGTACAGGAAATTGTACAATAAAATAGGAAGAAATAGAACATCAGCATCTTGGAGATTTAGAATGAAGTGACAGATTGTAAGCATCTCAACATATGATTGAAAAATGTATTTCAGTTTCATCTCTGAGCTTCCTGGGAGCCGGTACAAAAAGGAGATAGATTCTATTCTAAATTCTTATTTTTGACCATATGATTAAAGATTTAACTAGAAATGGCATGTCTTGAAATTGAGCAGCTCCAGGTACTGCTAACCTACCACAAAAGATTTATAACATGATTGAGGTATCTTATAGTAATATACCTGTTTTGTCCTGAGCTATTTTTGAAAAAGTATTTTATTGTTAGCATGTATTTGAAGGAACTAAAAACAAAACTAGATTGTTTTTCTGAGATTTACTAAACAAAATTGCCAGGTTCTTAAACTAAGAACCCTGTATATATTATAGACGTTTTAGTCAAACTTCAATGTGCATGGCAGTCCTTTTTTTTTTTTTTTTTTTTTTAATTCAGATTCTGATTCAGCAGGTCTAGATGGGGACCTGAGGTTCTGTATCTCTAAACCCACTCCTAGGTGACACAGATGCTACTACTAGTCATGCTTTTGAGCGTCAATATTTTATAAGAATGGTTGTTATATGTCATTGGGTAGCATTTGTATACTACTGAAATATAGAAATTGAAAGTAAGAAGTGTGATAAGTTGAGTTATACAAACAAAAGTTGCATATAATAAATAATGCTAACTGGAAGCTACCTCTGAAGTAATGTTTCGTATTAATAGTAGGAAAGATAAAACTTTGACTAAATGTTCTAGGATTAAGATTACTTTGGGGATTATGACCTTTAGTAGGCAGTTAAAGTACAGTTCACTGGCTTCTGTATAATAGTGTTCAGCTTCAGTTTTTAAGTTGAGTGACATAAATCTTTGGATACTTATAATTTTTCATAAAAAGAAATACTCGAAATTGGGTTAGCAAGTAATTTCCATCTTTTTATACTAGATTGGACTTCTGCATTAGATGCTAAAATAATTTAAAATGAGTTATTCTGGTCACATCAGTTCATTAACAATGTAGTATACATCGTGGTATTGGTACACATTTTAGCAGTGCTTACCACAGAACAGATAATAGGCCCGCTGTTGATTGTCTTCAGCCAGATGTACTGTCGTGCCCAGATAAACAAACTGTGACAAAATGAGACTTTCTCTTACCCTTGCAAATGTCTGAGAATTGCAGACTGTTTCTGCATCTACAGTTTATGCCACAGAAGCCAGGTTGTGTTATCAAAAGTTTTCTTTATCTCTGGTCACTTTCAATAAAATTTATAATGCCCCTAAGCATTAGTTATGAGAAATTTATTTTTTAACTTTTTAAAATAACAAAACTTTCCAATTCACTTGTAGAGTTCAATCTCATATCCTTCTTAACCCTAATTTAAAACTCCATATTGATGGCAAATCTTTCTGTTTCTAATTTAAGTTTTACATAATAGGACAGAAAAAACAGTATATCTTTTCAATCACTTATGATTCTACTTTGTTAGTGAGATTGTTATACACTCTTGAAAGCATTTCCTCAAACACCGAGCTATACGAAGTTAGAAGTGAAAAGGCGTAAGAAAAGCCATATATATAACCTACCTTACAAAATGCTTGGTCAAAATCTGATTACAACGTGATTTTAATAAATCACTTCTTTCCTTGTCTTCTTAATGAAAGCAGAATAGACTTGGAGAAAATGAACCTTAAAGTAAATCTGCAGTAAAAAAAAAAAAAAAAAAAGGATATGTGCAGCTAGTTTTCCACTTTTAAAACCAAACCACAGATGACACATTTCCTTTCTACTGCAACTAAGGCACATGTCACAGGGGGGAAAAAATCCTCCAACTTGTGTAGTTGGCCACTGGCATGACAGGAGGCTTTGTAGAACAAGTCTCCGCCCCCAGAGCAGGGAGGGTTTTCCATTTAATGTCTTTTAACCTTATGCTCAATCCATATGCCTGCTGCATGCTTTTAAATGATATATTAGTGTTATTCAAGTGGTTTTTAAAATGGCATCTTCCCTGTAGCCTTAAAATCTTCTTTAAAAAATGATATTTATATAATGCAGACTGATTTGAAATTGAGAGTTTGGAGTCCTTGGGGTATTAGTCAGATAATAGAAACAGCAATATATATAACTGACATTCTAAATTGTGGAGCTGCAACAATGATTTGAGAAAATATCTGAATAAACATGATTTTAATAAACCACTTGTTTTCTTCTTAAAGTAGAATAGACTTATATACACACTTACACACTCCCCTTGAATGTCTTGTCATCACTTCAAATTTAACATATCTAAAACAGACTTTAAGAACCAGGCACAGTGGCATGTACCTTTAGTCCCAGCTTTGTGGGAGGCTGTGACAGGAGGATCACTTAAGCTCAGGAGTTTGAATCCAGCCTGGGCAACATAGCAAGACCCCATCTGTAAAAAGATTTTTAAAAATTTAATTTAAAGCTGGGCTCGGCTCAGCCTGTAATCCCGTGGCTGAGGTGAGTGGATTGCCTGAGCCCCCGGGTTCGAGACCCGCCTGGGCAACTTGGCGAGACTTCATCTCTACAATAAATCAAAAAAATTAGCCGGGTGTGGTAGCGCTCGCCTGTAGTTCCTGCTACTTGGAAGGCTGAGGCTGAAGGATTGCCAGAGCCCCAGCAAGTCGAGGCTGCAGTGGCCGGGAGCGGCCACTGCACTCCAGTCTGGGTGACAGAGTGAGACTCCAACTCAAAAAAATAAATAAATAAATAAAAATAAATAAATAAATAAAAATAAATAAATTTAATTTAAAAAGTATTTTTTTCTTTAAAAGTGGCTGTCCCTCGTGATCTCCTTGTTTTTGTTCATGACGGCAACATTCTTTGTAATCTCAGAGGCTTATATACAACAGGTCCTTTCAATTCAAGTTCTTCAGCACTGATCATGTTGGGCCTCCCTTCATATCTTGTTGGGCCTTCCTTCGTATTCTTGTATTGGCTGCTGCTTTCCTGTTTTTGCTGCCACAGTAGTATTTTAGGGCCTTAAGAGCCTTCCTATTAGCCCTGACTCCTCCATATATTTTGTATATATCACTCTCTTTGGTCATATCACCCCTTCCTTTAAAGGAAAAATTGTTGAATAATATCTTAATACCTACATCAGTGACTCATAGATGTTTGTGCACATATAGATCAGATAAAAATGTTGTTTAATTGCAATAAAAATGTACAGTCCTTACTCCAAAGATTCATATTTAGTGTAGGTTTGGGCCAGGACCAGGAAAGCGCATTATAACCAAGCACTACAGTTGGTTCTGAGAAATATAAGATCCTAAGAGAAAGCCTAAACCTCTTGGTTGAGCAGTTATTGTCCCTTCATAATTTGGTTATTTATCTCTCAAAACTTCCCTACACGAACCCCCCAATCCAGTTAAAATAGCTGACTGTTTTCCAATACATCTAGTTACCTATTTCTTTTCCTCTTTACCTCTCTCCATAAGGCCTGCCCAGGCTTCTTGTTGAGTTCTGAATTCCTCCCACCTGGTTCAACCACTGTATCATCTTCTTTTATTTTTTTTTATTTATTTTAAATTGTGAGATGGAATCACACTGTGTTGCCCAGGTTGGTCTCAAACTCCTGGGCTCAAGCAGTAGTTTATACTGACTACCCCATTTGTGTTGATCTTTCCCCCTTTGAACTTAATAGCATATTTTTTTCTGCAGTTCCTTTGATAAGTGATTGCATACTACTACCTCATGTATTTTATCTTGAAATATTTCTCTTATTTTAAAATCATTTAACTTGTCATATTTTTTTATCTTATTCACTACCATCAGAATTTAAAACTCTGAGATGAAGACTTTTTTTACTGATAATTGTACATATTTCTGGGGTATGTGTGATATTTTGGTACACACGTACAATGTGTAATCAAATCAGGGTAATTAGAATATCTATCACCTCAAACATTTGTCATTTCTTTGTGTTGGGAACATTTCAAATATTCTCTTTTAGCTGTTTTGAAATATACAATAAGTTATGAACATTAGAAATTGTTCCTTCTATCTGACTATGTTTTGTACCCGTTAACCAACCTCTGAGGTGAAGATACCTATCATGGCTGACTTGTAGTACTATCACCAGAGTCATCACGTATGGAAAATGTTGGGCCTAAGTTAATATAGGTTGCTTTGATTTGAAATTCCAGTATTGTTTCTTCAGGGTTTTCCCATGGTCTTCACCATGGTAACTCATGTTTATTAGCTTTCTTTTGGTTTTAAGCAACATATGACCTAATATGGCTTAATCAAAAAGTGGTATTTATTGGGTTGTACAGGGAAAGGGAATAGTCCAAGGATAAGTTTGAACCCATTAGAGACTGTCAGATTCAGATGTGGCCGGGGCCACAGTTCTCTTCTGCATTCCTCTGCACCCTTCTCTTCAGCTTTAGGCAGGGTTTGTTTTTTTTTTTTCCCATATCCCAGCATGTGAACTTGCAACTCCTAGGGCTGTGTGTTCCCTTATTTGTAAACACCAGCAAAGAAGGGGCTCAGATTCCTGAAATTCGAGCTGAAGTCCCTGAATTGGGCTTCGTTGGCCCTAGTTGTCCTGTTTTGTACAGTATGTTCATTGCCAAGTCGATCTCTGGGCTAGGTGGGGTAAATGGATTGGCTAAAGCCATTCCAATTCATTCCAGAGCTCCAGGCAGGTCATTTCCATCCGAGGCATTCACTGGTAAGTTGGTGGACCTGGAGACAACCAACCAGTGCCCAATGTCTTCTTCTTTTCTTGACTAATGGGCAAAGTTTTTATTGTTGCTGTTGTTCAAAATTTTTGAATTAGAGATGTGTCTCTGCCCTTTCTTTAGCCTTATTTTTCAGTAACTGAAAAACAATGGATTTAAAAAATGAATCCAGACTTTGAATAATTGTTTTATATTGTTCTCTCTAGAAAACGAATTGGAAAATAAAGAAATAAAATAGATCAATGGCATCTATACATTTATTCAAAACTCTGTTAACAATCTGTGTCCTTTTTTATCTTCCTTAGGTTCAAAACTGGCCAAATCAATGGTGATTTGCTGATATATCATGTTTTGCTGACTTTGAAGCCATATTATGCGAAGCCATATGAAATTGTAGTAGACCTTACCCATACTGGGCCTAGCAATCGCTTTAAAACAGACTTTCTCTCCAAGTGGTTTGTCGTTTTTCCTGGCTTTGCTTATGACAATGTCTCTGCAGTGTATATCTACAACTGTAACTCCTGGGTCAGGGAGTACACCAAGTATCATGAGCGACTGCTGACTGGCCTCAAAGGTAGTAAAAGGCTCGTTTTCATAGACTGTCCGGGGAAATTGGCTGAGCACATAGAGCACGAACAACAGAAACTACCTGCTGCCACCTTGGCTTTAGAAGAGGACCTAAAGGTATTCCACAATGCCCTCAAGCTAGCTCACAAAGATACCAAAGTTTCTATTAAAGTAAGTTTCAGTCTTTGTTTTGTAAATGATTTATTGCCTTTCTTGACTAACTAGATTATATCCTGGCCTTCCTAGGTGTCCCCTAGTTGTATATCAAATATCCAGTAAATCTAGATACAGGAAGAACAAGGTTTCTGTCTTCATGGAGTGTCCTGCAAAAGACCTGAGAGTGTTCACTTAATTATCTTCTAGCTTAGGCAGGAGGCAGATGAACATTGTAGAGAGAGTAGTTTGCTGTATGTCAGTCAAATGGTAGGCATGTGTGGGGAGTGGAAATTCCCTGGTGAGAGTGCTGATTATGACATGGTTTCTACAGAGTGAGGAACATGAACCTTCAGGATGAAATCAGTACTTGTCTATAGAATTCTTGATCTTTTTAAAAGCAAAATTAAAACTTTTTCTGATGTTTTTAGTTTCTTTTGAGAGCATTTATCACAATAATTATTGAACCCATTTGAATATATGATGGTGGTTACTCTTTCCTAAATGGCAAACCTAGTGTTTTGTTTGGTTGATTGGTTGGTTTTCAGTGCCTCTTAGAATTCTGCATAATGGAATCTAATTCTTCTCCACTCCACCCCCTCACCACCACTTTCCAGGTTGGTTCTACTGCTGTTCAAGTAACCTCAGCAGAGCGAACGAAAGTCCTAGGGCAATCAGTCTTTCTAAATGATATCTATTATGCCTCGGAAATTGAGGAAATCTGCCTAGTGGATGAGAACCAGTTCACCTTAACCATTGCAAACCAGGGCACACCGCTCACCTTCATGCACCAGGAGTGTGAAGCCATCGTCCAGTCTATCATTCATATCCGGACCCGCTGGGAGCTGTCACAACCTGACTCCATCCCCCAGCACACCAAGATTCGGCCAAAAGATGTCCCTGGGACACTGCTCAATATCGCATTACTTAATTTAGGCAGTTCAGACCCAAGTTTACGGTAGGTTTTTTAAAAATTCACTTCAACTTTATTTGGAGTTTGTTGCTTTTAAAATGAGGCCACTTAATAAACATATAAAGAAAGCAGCCTCTACCTTAATACTGTAAATTGGAAGGTATGTAGTGTTGGTTAACCAGTGTGACCTCATCAGGTTGTGGAGTATTCACATGAACTGTGGAATTCTGAGTAGAGTGATTCACACAAAACCAATGTATGTTCTTTCTCCAAGAAACATTCATCTAAAACAGACAACAAAACAGATTTTTTTTCCAAAGAAAATGTCCTTTTTAAAAAAGGCCTGTGTTTCTTCTTCTCTGAGTCCTCTAAGTTTTTGCATGCTCAGAAGTATATTACTATTAAGTTTCCTAGCAGTCAAATCTAATGATCATTATTTGACAAAAGAAGGCCTAATGTTTAATAATTCAGTGACATTATTGCAGACTTTTTACCCATGTCACTCTTTTTTTTAAGATTAAGAGATATGGTTTATTTAAAAACTAAATTAGAAAGAGAGAAGAAAAGGGGGTTCACCTCCCCAAAGTAAGGGAGGTGGCCAAAGCTTAAGAAAACATGCCCTGGCCATAGCTCAAAGAACACATGGCCACACCATAGCTTAGCCTACTCATGTCACTCTTAATGGAATTCTTGAAATACATTTTTGGGGTTTTTTGTTTTTGCTTTTATTTTTTTTGGAGTTGGAGTTGGATGATGCCCAGGCTAGGATGCAGTAGCACATGTACGGCCACCACAGCCTCGACCTGCTGGGCTCAGGTGATCCTTCTGCCTCAGCCTTCCAAGTAGCTGGAACTACAGTCACACGCCACCAAACCTGGCTAATTTTTTTATTTATTGTAGAGATGAGGTGTTACCAAGTTGCCCAGGCTGGTCTCAAATCCCTGGGCTCAGGCAATCTTCCTACCTCCACCTCCCAAAGTGTTGGAATTACAGGCATAAGCCATTGCGCCCAGCACTTAAAAGAAATTTTAAGACAGATATCAATGTTATCTGAACAGAGTATATATAATTGGTTCCATTTTGGCTTAATAGTTTGAACATGTCCTTGGAAAGAACATGGCCTGTGGAGCCCATAGATTTGGTTTAAACAGATCTGCTACTTTCTAGCTATGGGTGACTCTGGACAAGGTACTCAAGTTCTCTGAGCTCTAGTTTTCTCATTTGTAAAATAACGGTAACAGTGCCTTCCTTATATGCCGATAAAAAATTAAACAGTATGTATGGTAGTCGTATAGCAACCTAGGAAATAATTTGTGCTTAGTAAATAGTACTGTCTTCCCCTACCCTTCCCCTCCCTGCCAACATCTCTTGGCACTCCTCTCTTTTCTTCTCTTTCCTTTTCATGTTAGGATTATTCTTGTCTCATATACCTTAGGACTATCAAGATTTTTACAGATATAAATTCTTAGCTTCAGAAAATTTTCTCTGGGTATAACAGCTCAGGTTTTATAGTGGATCTTTTAGGATGCCAGATTCTCCTTTACTTAAAAGGAAGGGGAAAAAAGGAGAAAAAAAAAGATTTTTTTTTCCTGGACGGGCTTCATGGATCCAGAAATTGCATATAAAATTTTGTATATGCTTAGCTTTCAGAGGAATCTCAGAGGGGTCTGTAACAACACCCATAGGTTGAGGAAATCCAATTCTTTTTGTTTGTTTGTTTGTTTGTTTTTTGAGGTGGAGTCTCACTCTGTCACTCAGGCTGGAGTGCAGTGGCATGCTCCCGGCCACCACAGCCTTGACCTGCTGGGCTCCAGCGATCCTTCTGCCTCAGCCTTCCATGTAGCTGGAACTACAGGTGCGCACTACCACACCCGACTAAGTTTTTATTTATTATAGAGATGAGGTCTTGCCAAATTGCCCAAGCTGCTTTCAAACCCATGTGCTCAGGCAATCTACTCTCCTCAGCCTCCCAAAGTGCTGGGATCACAGGCTGAGCCACCAAGCCCAACCTGAGGAAGCCCAATTTTTTATAGCTGTTGAAATATACAGAGTAAAAGTTAACATCAAAATAGTATAACTTAAAATTTCTAGGAATTAGTAAAAGATGTAAGCTGGGTATGATGGCATATAGCTATAGTCCCAGCTACTTGAGAGGCTGAGACAGGAAGATCACTTGAGCCCAGGAGTTTGAAGTTTCAGTGTGTTATGATTATACCTGTGAATAACTACTACACTCCAGCCTGAGCAATATATTTAAGATCCTGTCTCTAAAATTAAAAAAAAAAAAAATAAATTACATCAGTATTCTTGTTTTCAGAAAATGGAGTTTTGAACCTGACTTTAATTTCTAGCTCAAAGTTCTTCACAGAAAAATGCTAACAGACCAGGCGTAGTGGCTCACACCTGTAATCACAGCACTTTGAGAAGCCAAGGCAAGACAATTGTCTGATCCCAGGGTTTCGAGACCAGCCTGGGCAACTTGGCAAAACCTCCTCTCCACAATAAATTTTTTAAAAATTAGGAGTAGTGGTGCATGCCTGTAGTTCTAGCTACTTGGAAAGCTGAGGTGGAAGGATTCCTGAGCCTAGCAAGTCAAGGCTGTGGTAGAGTGTGCCACTGCATTCATTCTAGCCTAGGCTTCAGAATGAGACTCTGACTAAAAATGAAAAAGAAAAATGCTAACACTCTTCTAACAATTAGTAACCTGGGTGAACACATTCTGTTCTCTAGTAAACTGAAGCCATGTGACAGCTTCAGCTTTTTGCTAAAGCGTGTCCTCCCAGAGAAAAAGCCTTTAGGGAGACTTACATTTCAGTGACTCTTTTCCCTGTATGGTTGTTGCATAAATATATTAGCATAATGTATGCTCAGAAGTAAAGAAAACCTGAAATTTGCTGAGCGGTCAAACTATTTTTTTTGCTAGATAGGGAAGAAAAATTAAAAATTTGTAAGTGTGACTGAGTTTTTTAGGCTATCTTTAAGTTAGTTAAATATATTTTCAACATTTGTAAGTGAACTTTGTCTTCATGGAACCTAGATATTATAGTTTTTTGTTTTGTTTTTTGGTAGTTGTATATGATGTAATGAGGTCATAGAAAGAAAGATGGGGGACTTAGTTATAAGTTAATTTTATATTTAACCTTCCATTTGTAGGATTACCTGTAGAGCACTTAGAAGTAAATTGAGCAGATGCTAACTAGAGATTTTGACATTCTAATGTGATGCAAGTCCATCTCATTTTTCTTCTTATGTTCCCCATTACAACTGGATCTAGCAAGAGAGGGAAGCACAATTTGAATTGTGGCTTTACTAAAAACACGATGTGTCTTATCCTGGCTTGCTTTCTACTGATCTGCCTTAGGACCATGATCCTCTCATAGCTTATGTCCCAGTGAAATGTCTTTTAAGAAGGCCTACATCCCTATCTTAGAAGCCTCACAGTGCATTTATGGGTATGTCAAGAATCTCCCTTCTTAAAAAAATCCCTGAATGATCAAGGGGTATTTTATTTTTCCATAGAATCATAACATCTTATTTCTAATTGACTATAAAGTTTTAAAGTAGTTGATCATGCTTTGTAATAAAAATCACAAGTTGAATGTTATTAAAGTACTTTGCAATTACAAGGAAAAATATGTTTTAAAACAACTTCATTTGTGTTTTCTCCTAGGTCAGCTGCCTATAATCTTCTGTGTGCCTTAACTTGTACCTTTAATTTAAAAATCGAGGGCCAGTTACTAGAGACATCAGGTTTATGTATTCCTGCCAACAACACCCTCTTTATTGTCTCTATTAGTAAGACACTGGCAGCCAATGAGCCACACCTCACGTTAGAATTTTTGGAAGAGTGTATTTCTGGATTTAGCAAATCTAGTAAGTAATGGTAATTTTCTTGAATACTAACAGTGATTCTTAACAAAATTCAAAAGAAACCATTTTATTTCAGAATTTTCCAGTGAAATATTCTACTTATTATATTTTTACTTTTTTTTCTCTTCTGATTTTATATCTGTGATACCCTGTAACTGAAGGAACTTCCTGGTAGGCCACATTGAGAAATCCACCAAAATTCTGGCAGTAAAAGCAAGGTGGCAAAGATTTTGGTATCTTACATACCTCTGAACCACTTACAAAGTATTTTTTTCATTGTTTTAGTTTAATTAGCTTCAGCATTTCTCTTCTTAGCAGAAAATTTCACATGAGTAAAGTATCCATGTTGTCTCCTTAACTGTAGAGAAATAGTAATTTTTCTTCTCTTCATATTGGCTTTGAACTATGATTGTGTTATGCATGTAGAGTTCATGGAAAAGTGTGGTGGCACATAATACAGAATCCAGAGTCATTCCTGACTTGGCTGTAATAAATCTCATAAATCTGACGTGTATTCTATATATCTGTCTGTCTTCATATCTTGTAATAGGATCAATGTTGATCTTCTCCCAGCTTATTTCCTGGCCTTTTCTTCCCTCTCCTGCATAATACATAAAACTTCTTTTTATGAATTCAAACACATTTCTTTATTTTTCTGTATTAGATAATTGAAAGCTTTAACTTCATCAAGACTAGGTCACTATGTACATTTTTTTTTAAGGAAGAGGTGTAGAAATACTGCCTGGGCATGGTGACTCACGCCTGTAATCCCAGCACTTAGGGAGGCTGAGGTGGGATAATCACTTGAGCCCAGGAGTTCAAGACCAGCTTAGGCAGCATAGGGAGACTTTATCTCCACAAAAAATTTAAAAAATTACCCTCGCATGGTGGCAAGCACCAGCTAGTCTGGAGGCTGAGACAGATGGATTGTCTGAGCCTAGGAGGAGGTCAAGGCTACTGTGAGCTGGAATTACACCACTGTATTCCAGCCAAGGTGACAGAGCGAGACCCCATCTCAACAGCAACAATAACAACAAAAGGAATATAACAAAAAATTTGGAAGACTAACAAATCAAAAAGATGAAGCTCTATTGGTACATGTTAATATAAGAAAAGATTTTAGTGAATGGACAGGCATATTGTGTTTCTGAATGAACAGTTTTTCCCAAATTATTGCAAATTTAATGCAGTCCCATCAAAATAGCCAGCGGATTTGAGGATTGAGAAGGGAGATAGAACTTTAAAAGATTCTAAATTCTACTTAAAAGTATAATAATAGCTAAGAAAATAGAGAAAACAGAAAGATTGGATATTACAATGTCTGAACACTTTTTAAAAATTAATGTTCAAGAATCAGCATTCAGATCAATGTAAGAGAAACAGATTGGTAAAGAAGAATCATACACTGATGGGGGAGAGAGGAAATCATTTAAGAAATGAGAATGGGAAATGAATTAAATTATATCTTCATCTTCACCATATGTTACAAGATACCAAATAAGTTCTGCCTGTATTAAAGAGTTGAGTTGAAAAACTTGGAACCATTAAAAAGAGAGAGAGAGAGAAACAAGTGAATGTTTCGTTGCTTTCCAGATGAGTAAAGACATACAAAGCAAAAAAGTGAAAGAAGTAAACAAAGGAAAGGGTGAATGAATCTGCATATATGAAACTTCAAAATATCTTTGCTATAAATAAACAAATAAAAATGAAAGATAAATTCAAAACTGGGAAATATACTTGGAACAATGTGATAAAAGATTAATATCCTTAGTCATGATGCATTATTATAGATTAATAAGTTAAGTGGATTAACAGTAGCATGCAGATCATGCTAAAAAAAAAGAATATATTTTAAAAGTTCAATTTAAAATCAAAGAAAAGCAAATATTTAAAATCAAAGAAAAGCAAAGTGAAAGAATAGTGAGATTACCTATTCAGCTGATAGTTTGACAAAGTTTTTTTTTTAAATCAGTCCTGATGGTCTGATAGAATTGTGAGCCTGGGCGGTTTTTCCAGAGTGCCATTTGTTTAGAAATGGACATCAAGACCCTTAAGACTGTTTATACCTTTTTGACCTCATAATTCCACTTTTTAGAATTTACACTAAGGAATTAATGTTAAGATCTTTATTATAGCATTATTTTTAATTTAAATGTTTTAATTGAGGTATATCTTGTCATCTGCAAAGTACCCAGATCTTAAGTGAACAACTTAATGGAGTTTTTATATGTGAATACATCGCGAAAGTGACTTCCATATCAAGATACAGAACATTTCCAGCATCCTGGACAGATCCTCTCTTGTCAGTCCCATCCCTTTACCAAGAGTAAACATTATTATGACCTTTATTGCCATATATTTATTTTGCCTACTTTAGAACTTCATATGACATTATTTATAATAGCAAAAACAAAAATTGGGACAGACCAAAAGTCAAACAATAAAGAACGGATTAAATTGTTGGATCTCCATATGATGGAATAATATGAAACCATTAAAAGTGTTTTTGATACAGTTTCAGATTGCTAAAAGAAAAAATTCTGGAGATGGATAATGATGATGGTTGTACAACAGTGTGAAAGTCCTTAATGCCACTGAACTGCGTACTTTAAAATGGTTAAATCTACTGAACTGTACATTTTAAGTGGTTCAAATGGTAAATCATATATTGTGTATTTTTTACCACTGTTTGAAAGATTGTCTTTGAGAATCTAGGTGAAGTGAGGAATTTTTGTACTGTTTTTGTACTTTATACATGTGAAACTTTTTCCAAGAAAAGTTAAGTTTTTGGAGAAGCTGGGCATGGTAGCTCATGTCTATAATCCCAGGTACTTTGGGAGGCTGAGGTGAGAGAATTGCCTGAGCTCACAGGTTCGAGACCAGCCTGGGCAACTTGGTGAGACCTCATCTCTACAATACATCAAAATATTAGCCGGGCTTGGTGGTGCATGCCTGTAGTTCCAGCTACTTGGAAGGCCAAGGCGGAAAGATCCCCTGAGCCCAGCAGGTCAAGGCTGCGGTGGCCATGCGTGTGCCACTGCACTCCAGCCTGGACAACAAAGTGAGACTCCAACTAAAGAAAAAAAAAAGAGTTTTTGGAGAATTTTTAATGTTGACTAAATAGCCTCAGTATAATGTTTAGTGAAAAATATTTAGAACATACTGCATATATGGCATAATTCTAATTTTTGGGGGGGAGCAGGAGTGGTTTATATGTGTATACACACAGAAGTGTGTATTATCTCTATATAATATAGAAGCCTGGGGAGAGAGATAAGATCATACGCCAGCATATTAATATCAATTTCATTTTTGTGATGAAGCTTTTCTTTTACCAAACTTTCTGTGATTACCCCATTTTCCTTTTATGGTATGAATAGAACGTAATTTTTTAACACAAAGGAATGACTAAAAGGGATAAGTATAATATAAGACAAAACTTTTCAGATATTGGCTTACTGGGACTTTTTGTTGTTGTTATTGCTTTTGATTTACTATTACTGGCTTTTAAAATTACTTTCTTAAAGACTTGTTGTCCTCCTTCACCTCTATCTTCAAATATATATTTGCCAAATCTCTTTTCACCAGGCCTGATTCTAGGTAATGGTCTTTACCTTTTCCCTTTTAAAAAATCTCAATTCTTTATATTAAAACAGCTGTTGGTGTAATTTTCATTCATATTCTAAGAGTGTATTTTTTCCAGGTATTGAATTGAAACACCTTTGTTTGGAATACATGACTCCATGGCTGTCAAACCTAGTCCGTTTTTGCAAGCATAATGATGATGCCAAACGACAAAGAGTTACTGCTATTCTTGATAAGCTGATAACAATGACCATCAATGAAAAGCAGATGTACCCATCTATTCAAGCAAAAATATGGGGGAGCCTTGGGCAGGTATTGAGTTTGCTCAAATATTTATCTAGTAGCTCCTTTGTTTAGATATTTATCTGGTGCCTGCTTTGAGCAAAACACTGCACTAGATACTGGGACTATAGCTGTAGAAATCACAGTTCCCTCCTTCAGAAAGCATGCTGACACCCACCCAAATCTTCATCTGGTTCAAAATTGTAAGTGTCTAATGCATGTCTCAGAGCCAGAGAAAGACTAGTTATTTTAACAGTCTTCTCCATGGCATAATTATATAGAACTTAACTATAGAAATCTGATGACATTTCTAGTAACTAGTACTTTATTCTAGTTCCCTGTACACTATGAGTGTCAGTAAATGTTTCTCAGTGATGTTATTTGGTACACTGCTTTCTTTATAGTTCTAGCATAAAAATTAAAATAGAGAATGTGATGTAACATTTTGGTTTGTTTCTGACAAGAATTATATATATCATTTCTTTTTTTTTTTGAGTTGGAGTCTCACTCAGTCGCCCAGACTGGAGTGCAGTGGCTGCTGCCAGCCACCGCAGCCTCGACCTGCTGGGCTCCGGCGATCCTTCCACCTCAGCTTTCCAAGTAGCTGGAACTACAGGCGTGCGCTACCACGCCTGGCTAATTTTTTTGATTTATTGTAGAAATAAGGTCTTGCCAAGTTGCCCAGGCGGGTCTCGAACCCTCAGGCTCAGGCAATTCACTCACCTTGGCCTCCCAAAGGCGCGGGATTACAGGCTGAGCCAACGAGCCCAGCCTATATATATCATTTCTAAGTAGTCACTTTAAAGAAGTAATGCCCTTACTCAAACAATGCTGCAAATTTTCTAAATAATCTTAAATGACTCTGGAACCAGTTTTATAGCCCTAGAAAATACCTTGGTACTTGATTCATTTCCTATATTTTAAAATAACTGTTTTGTATTGATCATACATTACTGTCACAGAAGAATACAGAAAATACTTTGCAAGTGAATGAAAATCATATTTATAGAGATTTTGAATGCCAATCTCTTAATGGCCAAAGGAATCAAGTGAATATCCTCATCCTTTCTTGTATATTTTATGACAAATTATATTTACTGACAGGTCTGTAAATAAAAACTAATATTTTTGAGGCCTCAGGTAAAACATAATTTTCATGTTGATTAGACTGCTCCATGAGTATTTTTAAATTAAAAATTAAGTTAGAGGATCCCCTGAAACTACTTACTGGGAGTATATAGAAAGAAAAAAAAAATTAAGTTGGTAGAGGCTGGGCATGGTGGCTTATATTTGTAATCCCAGCACTTTGGGAGGCCGAGGCAGGAGAATCGCTTGAGCCTAGGAGTTCAAGACCACCCTGGGCAACATAGTAAAAACTGTCTCCACAAGCAATCAAAAAATTAATGGGGTGTGGTGTTGTATGCCTGCAGTCCCAGCTACTCGGGAGGCTGTGGTGGAAAGATCACTTGAGCCCAGGAAGCTGAGGCTCCAGTGAGCTACAGTGAACCCAGGCATATTCTAGCCTGGGCAACAGAGCAAGACCCTGACTCAAAATAAAAAATTGTTTAAAGAGTGATTAGAAGCATGTTATTTTCCTTCTTCAACTAGATTACAGATCTGCTTGATGTTGTACTAGACAGTTTCATCAAAACCAGTGCAACAGGTGGCCTGGGATCAATAAAAGCTGAAGTGATGGCGGATACTGCTGTAGCTTTGGCTTCTGGAAATGTGAAATTGGTTTCAAGCAAGGTAATCACTTTACTTTCTTATGAGGGGGTTTTTCCTTTTGCAATTAGTTGTTTTTAAATTAAACTGAATTCTTTTGCGTTAAAACTTTGTTTTAGTCCCATGTTTTTCAAAATTCTTCTTTACAGGTCATTGGACGGATGTGCAAAATAATTGACAAGACGTGCTTATCTCCAACACCTACTTTAGAACAACACCTCATGTGGGATGACATTGCCATCTTGGCACGCTACATGCTGATGCTGTCCTTCAATAATTCCCTTGATGTAGCAGCACATCTTCCCTACCTCTTCCACATTGTCACTTTTTTAGTAGCCACAGGACCACTCTCCCTTAGAGCTTCCACACATGGATTGGTCATTAATATCATTCACTCTCTGTGTACTTGTTCACAGCTTCATTTTAGTGGTAAGTTCCAGGAAAGGAACTTGTGTTTTACTAGTTCTTTTCTCCATTTTACTTTACCTGGCTAGCATAGATTATCTTATTTATGATGGTGCCTTAACATCAGCTTGCTAATCTGAACCTGCAGTAATGACATGAAATGTTATCAAAAAGAAAAAAAGTAAATTCCATTTCATATCAAGCTATAGTAAAGATTTCCTGGGCATATTTGTCATGTAGACTCTTGTAGTTATCACATATGCTAAATGCTCAGTGCCAGTTGACAGTGTTCCATTTGACACTAATTTGTAGATAAATGGAGCTAAAGCAATGAGGGTGGATTTAGGGAGCATGGTTATGTAACTTTTGATATGATATTCAAATTTTCTAAATTCAAACTGAAACACGGAACCTAATAATTAAAGAAATAATGTCTTCTAAGTCTTTACTTGTTCCTTTTTTCTTTCACAGAAGAGACCAAGCAAGTCTTGAGACTCAGTCTAACAGAGTTCTCATTACCCAAATTTTACTTGCTGTTTGGCATTAGCAAAGTCAAGTCAGCTGCCGTCATTGCCTTCCGTTCCAGTTACCGGGACAGATCCTTCTCTCCTGGCTCCTATGAGAGGGAGACTTTTGCTTTGACATCCTTAGAAACAGTCACAGAAGCCTTGTTGGAGATCATGGAGGTATATAAGGCAAAATGATAAGATTCTAAGATAAACTTTTTTAAAATCTAATACTGTATAGAAGAAATATTGGTTTGTTGTGCTGTTTTGCACTTAATGCTTATATAAAAACACTTTAAAAAGCCAGGTGTGGTGATGCATTCCTGTAGTCCTAGCTACTCAGGAGACTGAGGCGAGAGGATCTCCTGAGCCCAAGAGTTTAAGGCTGTGGTGAGCTGTGGTCATGCCACTGCACTCTAGCCTGGGCTACCAAGTGAGAGCCCACCTCAAAATAAATAAATACATACATACACACACACACATACACACACTTGAGTGTGTTACTGGTAACATATGTGTCATTTACTTAATGACATTATAAAAAACATTACTTAAATGTTTCTAAAAACATTGATGTATCTGTGTATATTCAGATTATCCCTTTTTCTAGGCATGTATGAGAGATATTCCAACATGTAAGTGGCTGGACCAATGGACAGAACTAGCTCAAAGGTATGTCCCAAATTAAATATAAGTTGTAAAAGTATGTGTATTTTGAAAAGATAGTTATTCCTGCATAACCAATATTTTAGTTTATAACCTAGTATATATAAACACAAAGGTCTTCATAAGTTTTGTGGATTTTCTAATTGCAGATTTGCATTCCAATATAATCCATCCCTGCAACCAAGAGCTCTTGTTGTCTTTGGATGTATTAGCAAACGAGTGTCTCATGGACAGATAAAGCAGATTATCCGTATTCTTAGCAAGGTACCTGTCCCTCTCTCCCTCCTCCCAAACATTTGTGGTTTCCATGTTGTAAAGCATATCTTTCATTTTTCTAAAAGATATCTAAATTTGAACTTAATAAAATATATGTTGCTTATTAAACCTTTAAAATTTTTATTTTGATTATTTTCTTTATTATAATTCTTTAAAGTGAAGAAACCCTCTCTAGAGATGTCTTTAAAAGAAAGTAAGTATTGTGTCTCTTTTGCTAAGCAAGTACTCTTAAATTTTTTTAGTTTTCAAAGCATTTAATTACATGGTAAGATTATGGCCATATATAGAATTATATATTTTATAATTACTATAAAGTGGCTGGCTTATATTAAATACAGTGTTGTAGAAATATCAAAAATAAGAAATCAAATGTACATTGAACTAGCTACCAAGATTACCGTAGTATTAGAAATAATTCTAGCACTTATAAGATAAATAAACATTCCTAAACTGATTCTGATATGCAATTTAGGATTTAATGTTTTATTTCAATGAAAGTAAATAAAGAATTCTGTTTTCCTAAAGGCACTTGAGAGTTGCTTGAAAGGACCTGATACTTACAACAGTCAAGTTCTGATAGAAGCTACAGTAATAGCACTAACCAAATTGCAGCCACTTCTTAATAAGGTAATTACTATATAGATAATGAGTTCATTCATTTTGGGAATGAGTGCTAAATGTTATTTTCTTTCAAAGAATTCAGAAAATAAAATATATTGAGAAGTTATAAAGGAAGAGCTATAGTTAAGGTAGAGCTCCTTAAAGTTTAGTTGTTTGAAGTAGTTACATTAGACAAAGGAGAAGCATGGATAGTGTGTCTTCAAGTGCTTGAAAGTTTTTGTCTCATCAATGTAAAGGAGAGAGAGATATATGTTCTTCATCTATTAAGTATTTACTGAGTATCTGCTATGTGCCAGTTACTGTTTTAGGTGCTGGAGAGATAGTACTGAACAAAGCCCAATAAAATTTCCTGCCTTCATGTAGCTTGCATTCTGGGGTAGGTGTGGAGATTGGAGAGTGGGTAGACAGTAAACAAAGTAAATAACATATATAGCATGTTAGTTAGTGATTATTACTATGGGGAAATGGAAAGCTGGGAGAAGTATACCTAATGATCATAACAGTCTGGGTGCTAAGTGAATAAAATGATGTGGTCACAGGTTTAGGATGAACTGAGCTCATCTCAGCTTTGTGCCCTCCAGTAAGTGACTTAACTATCTGGATATTGTGTTTCATATTAATAAAATGAATAAATTAGATTAGATAATGATATGGCATTACTTTTCCATTCTAAAAGTGTAAAATTCTGTGATTTGAGTACAAAGATATGCCAGACTTGGGAGAGATTACAAAGAAGTAAGTACCTATTATGTTGCTGGTTTGAGTTATATGTTCTGCAGACATCCTAATTTTATATCATCCAAAATGGTTCTCTCATCCCCATCTTATAAGTGAAAATGGGCTCAGAAGGGCTAAGTAACTCGCCTGAGGTCACATGCCTAAGAAGATTGACCATGACTCGAATGCAGTGCTGCCTGATTCTAAAGTCCACATGGTCTCCCATAGACTGCAGTGCTAAATAAGGATTACCAGTAATAAGTACTTTTAATTCAGAGCAGTAAGAGATCACTGTACTGGTTAAGAGTGACAAGAAGTTAAAAAGGTGGAGTTTAAACTGAAGTTAAAGAGCTAGATTGGCTTTTATGTAGGTAGAGAGAAGGGGAGAAAGCCAAAAGCCTTGAGCAGCAGAGGTGCAGCAGTAGGACGGTGCAAGAATACTAAGCAGTGGAGGCATGGCAGGCAGGCCATTTTCACTGTGGTAGAGACACTCCAAGAGAGCAGCAAGAGGGAAAATTATGAAGGATGGATAGACCTGACCTAACTTTCAGCATTGTTCAGAAAGGAGTTTGGAAATGGTCTGTTTTTAAGCTGACATGTAATGCGAGGAAAGCAGGACTTAGAACATTATTGTGGTAGTATGCACAGTGGATTGGAGTAGGGAGAAACTGGAGGCAAAAATAATCTACATTCGAAATAAAGATGAATGTGGTTGGCATGGGATAATGTCATTAGCGGTGAGGAAGAAACAACAGGTGCAAAAGAAACTACTCTAGAAGAGCCAGTAAACAAACCCCGAGGACCGGATTTGGGAATCAGAGACCAGGGTGAAGTCAAAGGAGACACCAAGGTTTAGCCCAGCTAGCAGTATCTTTTGTTATACACATTCTGTTCTCCTAAAAGCCACTTTTAGGAGATGAAGAGCTTGTCCATCTATTTATATTTCCCAGAAGAGAAAACATGGGGTAATTTGGGGGAATAACATCCTCTGATTCTGCGTGTATCTTGAACGAGACTGTTTCATGATGCATCTTACTAACCCATGTCATGTCTTTGTCAGGACTCCCCTCTGCACAAAGCCCTCTTTTGGGTAGCTGTGGCTGTGCTGCAGCTCGATGAGGTCAACTTGTATTCGGCAGGCACTGCACTTCTCGAGCAAAACCTGCACACCTTAGATAGTCTCCGGATATTCAATGACAAGGCAAGCAATTTTCCCTTGAAATTCCTACAATACCCACACTTAGTATTTCTCCCTCTTTCATTGTTGCTATTCTTTTTAAGTCAGAAGAAGTCCATAACTTAAGTATGAATTTCTATAATTCAACTTATTGTGAGTATAGTTCCTTATCAGCTCATAAAGAACATGACTGTATGTTTTCTGTATACAAATAGCAAAAATCAGTACTGGCCCAAGGCTAGTAAACAGAATAGGGATAAATAATACTGAGTAATAATAATAGCTCTCATACTAGGTCCTATACTTAGCACTATAGCATTATTTTTAATTTGCATAATCCTAAGGTAGAGGTTGGCATTCTCTACCACCCCCCATTTTACGAATGAAGAAATAACCTAAAAGAAAACTTTTTTTTTTTTTTTTTAGTAATCTATTTAATGAGAAATCGGTATAATGAAACCTGGGCACAGTGGCTCACACCTTTAATCCCAGTGCTTGGGGAGGCTGAGGCAGGAGGATCGCCTAAGGCCAAAAATTTGGGACCAACCTAGACCAGATGGGGGCAACATAGCAAGACCCCCATCTCCACAAAAATAAAAATAGATTTAATTAATAGTAGGTAAGGAAGTTGAGAGTCTAAAGGAAACTTTTGGGTATTTAATCTTACTATTTTAAAAAATATTTTCCTAATCTCTTTAAAATATACGAGTAGCACTCCTCTTAACATTTATCAACCTTGATTGGTGTTGGCTTTTAGTTCATAGGGAATAGAGGAGGGAATAAAATAGTATGAAGCTATATTCCTTCTGTTTTTGGAGAAAAATAGGAAGACTCTAGGAGAAAAGAGGAATTTTTCCAAAAGATAGAATGTGTATATGATGCAATTTGCCTGAAATGAAATTAACTGGGTAGAAAGAAAGGAAGAACAGACTCATGGTTTTAAGTGTAAAATTACTTGGTCTAAACATTGTTCAGTCTACCAGATGGAGTGTGGACCCAGAATAGCTGGGTATCTGGGAAATGTGGAAACAAAATTTTAGAGATAGAAAGAATCATGTTTATCAGTCAGAGCTCCATTTTACGAAATAGAAAGCAACTAAGAGTTAAGTTACTTGCCCATGTTCCTACATCTGGGTTGGAACTAGAACTTCTCTTTCCTAATTTCCATTACTCTTTTCTGGAGTAGACAGTAGTGGTCAGAGTGAATAACTAGCTATTGCATATTTGTATGTTAGGAATATTTGCAAATGAAGTGTTTGTATCTTAGGAGTACCCTCCTTGGCATTTTCATTGTCAGAACAGCTCTAAGTAGCAGGAGATGATATTGACACTAGGGATCAGAGTTAATAAAACTTGTTAAAAGTTACCAGGATGTGAACTGACAGTCATTTATTTTGTATTGTAAATCAAAGTGATTTCGTCTTCCACTATCTTATTCATATACGTGACTGTCTTGTACAAGTTAATTTGTAGTACCTAAAGTGTTCTATGGTTTTCTGTCATCATTAGAAAATAATTTCTCTCAACTTATCTTAGCATAGCTGTTGCATACAAACTAAAACTCCTGTGTGCATCTCATTAGCCATCTCGTGATTATTCTTAATATTTAGAGTCCAGAGGAAGTATTTATGGCAATCCGGAATCCTCTAGAATGGCACTGCAAGCAAATGGATCATTTTGTTGGACTCAATTTCAACTCTAACTTTAACTTTGCACTGGTTGGACATCTCTTAAAAGGTAAAGTCCTTGAATTAGAATATTTGTATGAAATAGTATTAAGAAACCAGAAGTAATTAAAATAATTGACTACTTGAAATTAATTGAAATAATTTAGCCTATATCTTACTTTAAATGCAAACTGTATCTATCTTAATGGGTTGGGTTTTGATTCATATGTATTTTAGGAGAGCTTGATTTCCATATCAAATATTAAATTTCCCTGAAAAAGCAAAAGAACTGATTCTTATAAAATTTCGAAATACTGAGCCTTCTAATAGCAGTACTATTAGTAATAGTAACAATACTTAAGTATCTTGTTGATTATTAAAATAAGACAGACTACAAATCAAGTGTTATTTGATTAATTCATATTGGAAAATATTATTTTAGAGATTTGATCACAGATTTTCTCCAACTTTTTGTTTCTAGTTTATTGTTGATCAGTGCTATTATTTTATACAGTAAAACCTTACCTTTCTGGTACCCTATCCCCACCCCTCCAAATTTTTTTTTTTTTTTTTTGAGTTAGAGTCTCACTCTGTCACCCAGACTGGAGTGCAGTGGCCGCTCCCGGCCACTGCAGCCTTGACCTGCTGGACTCCGGCAATCCTTCCGCCTCAGCCTTCCGAGTAGCTGGAATTACAGGCACGCGCTACCATGCCCGGGTGATTTTTTGATTTATTGTAGAGATGAGGTCTCGCCAAGTTGCCCAGGCGGGTCTCAAACCCGCGGGCTCAGGCAATCCACTCACCTCAGCCTCCCAAAGGCGCGTGATTACAGGCTGAGCCACCGAGCCCGGCTCCCTCCAAATTTTGATGTTGCTTCTAGTCAGTGATCACTAGCTGTTCTCAGAGTCAGCTCATTCACTTCCTAACCTGGTTTTACTCCCCATTGCTGACTTCACAGATTTTTTACTTTGCTTTATTAATGTGGGGCAGTCATGGTCAGAGACTGCAGTTAACAGGGCCATCATTTAGTGGTGAGTCTGGGCAAGCATTGTAAAGTGAGGCCTGGGATAAGGAGCTAGCGTGAACCGTTAGTCCCAGCACTGGATATGGCCACAGTAGAGATTCATGCTAGACTTTGAGTCTGTAGTTTTGTATCAATTTAAATAATTCTTAGACTTGAGGGATCATAGAGGTTCTCCCAGATTTTACCTGATTTATATATATATACCTACCACTGTGAATGCATATATTTGACTTGACCTCCTTATGAAATTTCTACAAAAAAATATTGATAGTTTTAATCTCTAGGGTGAATAGGGTTTTGTTCAAAAGATATTATAATACTCTTCCTAAAGGATACCAAGATGAGGAGTTGCAACTGGGCTGATAAAGTGCTTATTTATTCTGCATTTCCAAAAGATTACCAGATATTTTCGGTGTTCAGTTTCCTATTTTAAAATAGAGTAACATTAATGACCAAAATCTGACCAAAGATCAGACATACCCTCTAATCACCCCTGTTTGTTGGGCTTTAGAGCATATACTACCTATGTCATTAGATTTTTTTTTTTCTTTTAATTAAAAAAGAAAAAGGAAGAAGTCCAGGTGTGGTGGCTCACGCCTGTAATCCCAGCACTTCAGGAGGATTGCCTGAGCCCAGGGTTCAAGACCAGCCTGGAAAACTTGGCGAGAACTTGTCTCTACAATAAGTCAAAAAATTAGCTGGGCATGGTAATGTGTGCCTGCAGTTCTATCTACTTAGAAGGATCGTCTGACCTGAGTCCAGCAGGTTGAGGCTGAAATAGTTATGAGTGTGCCACTGCACTTTAGCCTGGGAAACCGAGTGAGACTCCGACTCAAAAAAACACACACAAAACAAAAACTTTTAAGCACTAGAACCCTATTTTCAAAAGAAATCTTAAGAGAAACTCTAGTACATAGGTTTTTTTTTTTTTTTTTTTGAGTGGGAGTCTCACTCGGTCGCCCAGACTGGAATGCAGTGGCCGCTCCCAGCCACCGCAGCCTTGACCTGCTGGGCTCTGGCGGTCCTTCCGCCTCAGCCTTCCGAGTAGCTGGAAATACAGACGTGCACTACCACGCCTGGCTAATTTTTGATTTATTGTGGAGATGAGGTCTCGCCAAGTTGCCCAGGGGGGTCTTGAACCCGCGGGCTCAAGCAATCCACTCACCTCGGCCTTCCAAAGTGCTGGGATTACAGACTGAGCCACCAAGTCCGGCCTGTACATAGGTTTAAAAAAAAATTCCTGTGCTGCCTTAGGGAATGGAAGATCTGAAAGACTGTCATCTTTCTTTTTTTTCTTTTTTTTTTTTTTTTGAGTTGGAGTCTCACTGTCGCCCAGACTGGAATGCAGTGACCGCTCTCAGCTACCGCAGCCTCAACCTGCTGGGTTCCCGCAATCCTTCCACCTCAGCCTTCCAAGTAGCTGGAACTACAGGCGCACGCTACCACGCTTGGCTAATTTTTTTGATTTATTGTAGAGATGAGATCTCGCCTGCCCAGGCAGGTCTCGAACCCGCAGGCTCAGACAGTCCGCTCACCTCAGCCTCCCAAAGGCGCGGGATTACAAGTTGAGCCACCAAGCCCAGCTTGTCATCTTTTTTAATTTTCCTCTTCCTGGGGTACCTCAAGGTTCTAGGGAACATACACAGTTTTGGTCTTTAATCACGTATGTAGTTAATTAATTATTTACATATGTTTGAAATTGAAAGACTTGTTCTTAGAAGGCAGAATTTATCCCTTATACTTCCTTTCCTTGCAGAGTTGCTATTCACAGAATAAAAACTCAGGAGATACTTGTTCATAGAATGAATTAACTTTCTTGTTTTTATTTTTTTATAGGTTACAGGCATCCTTCACCTGCCATTGTTGCAAGAACTGTTAGAATTTTGCATACACTACTAACTCTGGTTAACAAACATAGAAATTGTGACAAATTTGAAGTGAATACACAGAGCGTGGCTTACTTGGCAGGTAAAAACACAAAATAGACAAAATTATTTTTACCACATTTATATCTAAGGATCATCAAAAAGTTACAAATACCTATAGGTCTTTCAGCTGGTTGCCTGACAGACTGAAGAGTTCACAGTACAGTCCTTCAGTGGTGTTTAACATTTTGAAAGTTTGCCAAAACATGTTTTCATAGAAAGAATTTGCATTAGAATCTGAAATGTGAGCCGGGCTCGGTGGCTCAATTTGTAATCCCGTGCTTTGGGAGGCTGAGGTGAGTGGATTGCCTGAGCCCGCGGGTTCAATACCTGCCTGGGCAACTTGGTGAGACTTCATCTCTACAATAAATCAAAATATTAGCCGGGTGTGGTAGCGCACGCCTGTAGTTCCAGCTACTTGGAGGCTGAGGCGGAAGGATCCCCGGAGCCCAGCAGGTTGAGGCTGCGGTGGCCAGGAGCGGCCACTGCACTCCAGTCTGGATGACAGAGTGAGACTCCAACTCAAAAAAAAAAAAAGAATCTGAAATGTGTTCCTTTTGTCATCTTTGGTTCAAGACACTGCATTAGCTCCCTGTTATCTGTTGAAAATCCTGAATGCCTCAGTCTAGCATTCTGGGCCTATAAATAGTCCTCCCAATTCTGTCTTCTTTCTCTAAATTTTATAAGCCTCAGTTTTATTACCACTTCAAATGAATGAGCTATTTTAAGCTAATCTACTTGCCATCTCCTACAAGTGACTTTCTGCCTCTTCAATATTCATTCTGTATGCCATTTTACCTGGAGTGTCTGCTTTAACCCCACCATTCCATTAAGCCTTCCTGTTCTTATCTGATTTTTGTTGCTGTACTCGGCAACACTTAGCACTTATGTATAATACAGTTCTTAAACATAGTTTAATGGAAAGTGTTGATTCTGTTTAGCAGGCTTCAGTTTGTGGCAGCTTTCTTGTTTGACCCAAATTATTTAAATCTCAGAGTACTTTTCCTCATTGAACTTGATAATACCTACCCTGCTTACTTTTTGTGTTTGTTAAAATCAAATGTACATTAAAGCACTCGAAAAAGACAAGGTACTTATTAAATCTCTTTGTACATTTCATGTTTATGTACAATCTTCCAAAATATGCTGTAAACCCTTTAAGATAATCAAGTCTGTCCTAGGGTTTCTTTTATTTTAAAGTGGAGACAGGGTCTCACTACGTGGCCAAGGCTGAACTCAAACTCCTGGCCTTAAGCGATCCCCTGTCTTGGCCTCCCAAAGTGCTGGGATTACAGATGTGAGCCACAATGCGTGGCCAGTCTTAGGTGTTTGATATCCATAAACTTGACACTCTCTAGAACTTTTTACGTACACATTAAACAGGTATCCTCTTTAGGAGATTGTAAGGAGTGCATCCTATTTTAAATCACACTAGTGATTTTTAAAAAATTTTTTAATCTTCCTTCTTTTTCCTTTTAGCCTTACTCACAGTGTCTGAAGAGGTTCGAAGTCGCTGCAGCCTAAAACATAGAAAGTCACTTCTTCTTACTGATATTTCCATGGAAAATGTTCCTATGGATACATATCCCATTCATCATGGTGATGCCACCTATAGGTAAGTGGATTTGCTCTGCGGTAATTACACAAGTGTAGTCAGGTTTCAGTTTTCTAACTAAAGTAGAAGAGCAACAAAGTAACCTAGAAGGTAATATGGGGGAATCTAGAGCTGGCCTAGGAACAGTGTGTAAATCAAAACTCATTCTGTAAATGTATAGTATTTTATGTGAGTTAGTAGTAAGAAAATTACCATTTTTCTAATATAATTGTGCTAATGCTAATACTAGTTTGCTGCTTTGAAACAAACCAGATGAATAATGAAAGGAGTTTATCTTTAAAGTATTGGGTTGCAGGAAAGAGCCTGTGGGGAAAAAACTAACGTGAAACGTAAGTGACATTATGTGATTAATGATAGAGATCTAATGTGTGCAGATTTGTAAAAGCATGCACATGCCAACACATTTGTTGCATTTACTCATGTCACACTAAATTACTTAAAAGTCTTCTGTAGTACAGCTTTAGATGATGAAATAATCATGTTCACTGTACATAATGGATATGTATGGGTAGTATATTTTTCAGCATAACTTGGAGAAATTACATGAAAATGGCATCATTGAGGAATATCATTCAATTTGTCAGTATCCTGCTTTTTGATAAGAAATCCTCAGTAGTCTCTTACTGAGATTTTAACAATGTGTACAAAAGTTTTTTGAAGACACACTTGGTATTTAGTAGTCTTATTCTTTAGTCATTCCCAAGGTTGTATTACTTTGAGATGTGCCCTTTTTGTTACAGAAAGGAGAAAATATGTTTTCCTGCGTTTCCCCTCAACGTATAAATTAATGTTTGAAAGTGGGTGTTATGGCTCAGTGCTTTGGGAGGCCAAGGCAGGAGAATCACTTGAGGCCAGGAGTTTGAGACCAGCCTGGACTACATAACAAGATCCTGTCTCTACAAAAAAGTTAAAACCTTAGCTAAGTGTAGTGTTATGTCCCTGTAATCCTAGTTACTCTGAGAGGTTGAGGTGGAAAGATTGCTTGAGCCCAGGAGTTCCAGGCTGCAGTGAGCTGCACTCCAGCCTGGGTGACAGAGTGAGACTTGGTTTCTTAATAGTTTGGGCATGGTGGCTCACACCTGTAATCCCAACACTTTGGGAGGCAAAGGTGAGGTGATAATCTGAACCCAGAGGTTTGAGACCAGCGTGGGCAATTTAGCAAGACCATATCTCTACAATAAATCAAGAAGAATTAGCCAGGCATGGTGGCGCATACCTGTGGTTCCAGCTACTTAGAAGAATGAGGCAGAAGGATTGCCTGAGCCCAGCAGGTCGAGTGCAGTGAGCTGCACTCCAGCCTGGGTGACAGAGTGAGACTCTGATTCAAAAAATAATAATAATAGTTAATTAGCTAATGTTTGGTTTTCTCAATTTTTTTTTTTTTGAGTTGGAGTCTCACTCTGTCACCCAGATTGGAGTGCAGTGACCGCTCCCGGTCACTGCAGCCTCAACCTGCTGGGCTCTGGCGATCCCTCTACCTCAGCCTTCCGGGTAGCCGGAATTACAGGCATGCACTACCACGCCTGGCTGATTTTTCTATTTATTGTAGAGATGAGGTCTCGCCCAGTCTCAAACCCGCGGGCTCAGGCAGTCCACTCACCTCAGCCTCCCAAAGTATGGGATTACAGGCTAAGAAGCCACTGAACCAGCTTGGTTTTCTCAATTTTTAAACCAAAAATATAGTTGCCTGTTTAGACTTGATTTTTCCTGACTAAAAAATCAGTACAGTTAGTTCAAGAGATCTATTATACAACACGAGGACTTTAGTTAATTACCATGAATCACATACTTGAAAATTACTAAGAGAGTAGGTTTTAGGTTTTCTCACCATGAATAATAAGTATGTGAGGTAATGTATATGTTAATTAGCTTAATTTAGCCATTCCACGTTGTGTACATTTTTTTTTTTTTTTAGTTGAGTCTCACTCTGTTGCCGAGGCTGGAGTGTAGTGGCATGCTCACAGCCACCCCAGCGTCAGTTTGCTGAGCTCAGGCAATCCTTCCACCTCAGCCTTCCAAATAGCCAAAACTATAGGCATGTGCTACCACACCTGGCTAAGTTTTTAATTTATTGTAGAGATGAGGTCTTGCCAAGTTGCCCAGGCTGTTCTCGAACCCGTGGGCTCAGGCAGTCCCCTCACCTCAGCCTCCCAAAGTGCTGGGATTACAGGCTTGAGCCACTGCACCCGGCCTTTGTACATATTTTAAAACTTATTGTACACCATTAATGTATACAATTTCTGTCAATTTTTAAAAATTAAAAAATTTAATTTTTAAAAATTAATGCAGTACAGTTCTTTCTGTTCAGCATTTGGTGAGTACCTACTATATATAAAATACCATAGCAAGAAAGTTTATACTTTTGGGGGGGGATACATTAAGAGTTTTTACACTAAAGCCCTTTAAAGTTCAGCTTTAACCCTTTGCACTCGGATGTCCCCTCTGAGGAGACATAAGTAGTTATAAGGAAAAACTTATGCCAATGCAAAATTTTTTAAAATGTATGTTTCCTTGAAATTTTCCATTCAAATTGCACAAACAAGCAAATAAAGAGATGGAATATATACTGAGATATGATTGATCAGTTCAGAAGTGGTTTTTCAGGAATCACGAGTATGTCCTTCCACATATTCTTTGAACAACAGACTGGACAATAAATGAGATATTATTAATGTGGGAAAAAGAAATCAAGACTGCATTGTCTGCTCAAATAGAAAAACACCAGGTGGAATACACCCAACATAACTGTTGCACAACATGTATCAATAAACCTGCAGTACATGTTGGTGACTGTTTTACATGTTGCCACATGTTAGAAAAATATAAAATAAAAATTGTGATTTTTTTAATCATAAGTAGGTTCATTGATGTCCACAATTCCATTAAAAGCCAAGCATCATTACAGTAAAATAATTGGTTCCAACACTATATATTTAATATGAAGTGATTTATTTTTCACTATTTCATAAAAGTGAGTGGTCTAGTTGCTGACCCTCAAGATGTCTTTGAGTGCTGCAAAGGATTAAAATTAATTGGGGAATTGTAATTGTCACAGTGTTAATGAATTCTTCTCACTTGTTTTGATCTCTCAGGACACTAAAGGAGAATCAGCCATGGTCCTCTCCCAAAGGCTCTGAAGGGTACCTTGCTGCCACCTATCCAACTGTGGGCCAGACCAGTCCCCGGGCGAGGAAATCCATGAGCTTGGACATGGGGCAGCCTTCTCAGGCCAACACTAAGAAGTTGCTTGGTTAGTTTATCAAAATTATATAGAATTTTTTTTATTATTTAAAAAAATGGTCAGATATTTTCACTCTTGGAAAATTGTTTGAAACCTCAAGATTACCAGAATTTTGTTTCAATGTAGCAAATATTTTGATGCCAATTAAAAAGAGAGTTTGATAGATCAGTTAAGCCATATCAGATGGGATAGAGAAATAAGAATGGGACCTTGAAACAGTTTTTTTCTGATTTTAGAGTAAATATTGTATCTCTTCTTGTTTTGTTTTGCCTTCGTTGGGCAGAAGGGAGTGGGAATCGGAGAGACATTAGATAAATACTACAAGAAAGCAAGACTTTCTGTACTCAGGGCCTTTAATACTATAGTAGTTCCCAAAATTGTCATTTGAGAGCAGAATACATTGATATGCTATGAAACTGTAGTAATGCTATTTGCCATGTTGCCTTTGAAAAGACAAAAAGGTAAAATATATGTTTTCAGTTACTGTAAGATATGATTCTTGAAGTTAAGATTGCTTAGAAACATTAGCTTTTGTCTATGGGAAGTATACCTAAAATGCTGTGAGATCCTTTCCCATTTCAGTAACTAAAAGTAAATGAAAGAGCTCACTAATCCTACATTGCACCTCAGAGGAAATACATATTCCATTGGCTAAACTTTTAATTGTTCCTGGAATAGGTTGGGATCTATTTTTCAGTGGCCAACACTGTGAATGGTTCGGTGGATTTTGGTTATTCATGTAAGCATATCTAAGTATGTTTAGGTGCTAGGAAAATGTTTGTGTTCATAAGGAAATTAATGAACAAACAACAAAGTGTGACTTAAATAACCTGCCAGTAAACCGTGAAAGAAACAGAAACCTTGAATACTAATCACCGTTACTAGTCACATAGATCTATTACCTTTTGTTTGAGTTCTCTTCTGTTAATATTTTGCTGTACGTAATCTTCTAAGAGTTTCCTGGTTACTTTGTGTTTCGTAATTCTGGATTTTCATGCCAAGGAAGTTGTAAATGAAAAACTAACCTCAGAAAAAAATGCAATTTTGGATTCATTCAACCCATGTACTAGATGAAAAAGATATGGTCTCTGCCCTGGAAAAGTTTATAGTTTAGTGGTTAAGATTTAAAATCAGCCAATCACAACAGTATCTACAGGTACTGTTAAAGAGATATGCCTTGAGGGAGAAACTGAAGATCTGAGGAAATTAGAAAAAACTGGAGAGACAGGTAACAGTTGAGTTGTATCCTAAAGATTTAATACATACTTGTGAGATAGAGGACAAGGAAGGGCATGTGTTCAGGTGGGCGGGGAGGTGGCAGGAATAGTGTGAATAAAGAAGTCAGGAAAGGCCGAGCTCGGTGGCTCAGCCTACAATCCCGCACCTTGGGAGGCCGAGGTGAGTGAATTGCCTGAGCCTGCGGGTTCAAGACCCGCCTGGGCAACTTGGTGAGACCTCATCTCTACAATAAATAAATTTTAAAAAATTAGCCAGGCGTGGTAGCGTGCACCTGTAGTTCCAGCTACTTGGAAGGCTGAGGCAGAAGGATCGCCGGAGCCCAGCGGGTCGAGGCTGCAGTGGCTGAGAGCGACTACTGTACTCCAGTCTGGGCGACAGAGTGAGACTCCAACTCAAAAAAAAAAAAAAGAAGTCAGGAAAGCAACTGGCAGTAGATCATAGTGTCTTGGGGAATGAGGCAGGAAATAGGGCTAGAAGAAGGATTGGAACTTAATTGTGGAAAACTTTGTGTGCCACATTAAGAGAGTTAGCATTACTGTGTATCCAGTTGAGTTTTTTAAGTAGAGAAGGAACATGACCACATTTTTTTTTTTTTGGAAAGATTTTATGGCAGCAACATGGAGAAATAGGAAGAGGTTTTTGTCAAGGGGACCTTTAATAGAATTGAAATAGCAGTTCAAGCAAAATATGGTGTGAGCCTGACTAAGGCAGGAACAGTGTGAGAATGGAGAAGAATCAAGTTTGGAGCCAGTGTCATGGCACATGTATGTAGTAACAGCTGTTCAGGAGTCTGAGATGGTAGGATTGCTTGAGTCCAGGAGTTCAAGTCCAGCCTATACAACACAGCCAAACCCTATCTAGATAGATAGATAGATAGATAGATAGATAGATAGATAGATAGATAGATGGATCGATCCAGTTTAAGATGGGTATCTGAAGTAGAATGAACAACATGTGGTGACCAATTGGAGCACGTGAGAAAGGAGAAGGTTGTGAAGGGCGTCAGAAGTTTCTAAGGTTCAAAAACAGGCTAGATTCCATTCATAGAGGTCAAGACTAATATGTTCCAGTATGAAATGGGTGATAAACTTGCGTGGGTTGATATTTGAGATCTTTTCAGGACAATGTCAGAGTATATATCTAAGAGATAACTGAAAAGATGTATCTGGAATTCAGGAAGAGAGATGTAAACACGTAAACATTTAGAACTGATTACCTTGTAGATAACTGAAGCTAACAGAATGAGAGCCCCCAGGAAGAATGCAGAGATTAAAATAAAAAGGAAATGTGAGAAAGACAGGAAAATTAAATGGAGAGAGTGGTATCCTAGCTCATGCCTTATGGAAAGCACTGACTGGTTTTAGAAACCCTGAATTTTCAATCATTAACTGGAACCCTAAAATGCATCTGCTATTTAATCACTTGACTGCTTATGGCTTACACATGGCGTGCATGCACTTGACATGAAAGGCTGGACTCAATTCCTTTGGGATGCTAAATTGTTTGACCTTGATATTTATGACTATTATGAATATGCATTGGTATTTATTAATTCTTGAGATTAATAGAACTTTGTATTTCTCAAGTGTTCAATAGTTAGATTTTATTATATTGGCTCCAGTTCTGACTTTTTAAAAATAATACTGCCAGAAGTAGATTTTTTCCTTAGAGCTGCACCAAGAATAAGAGAAACTCTTTACATATAAAGACAGAAATCTGTAAGTCCCAGGCAATCTGATTTCAGGCCTTTTAAATAAAAGAAAGACAGTTAATATTAGTGTAATACATGATTAGAGAAATTCATAGCCAAGTGGGAGAGAGTGCTACTTGCTGTTCTTGGTGCATCTCCCAGTGTATCTGTTTTTTTAGTACTTTCAGGCAGACACATCTTTTTTTAAAAGCTTGAAAAATTAAAATCCAAACTTTGATTTCTGCCTAAGCTTGGAAATTCCTCATATGTTAGTGATTAATTCTTGGCACCAGCAGAATTTCTTAAATTGAAATGACTGTTCAGACATAGTTGATCTTTGCTACTGAACAGTCTATACCCTTGTGTTTATTCTCAATAATTATATTGGGTGGGTGAAGTTTGGTTTACCTCCAGTGTAGTGAATATAATTTCAATTTAATTTGGACGAGTAAGGAGTGTCTTGTCCTGAGACAGAAAACTGTGGGACTAAACCCCTTGGAGAAGATGGAGAAGGAAGGAGGAAAAACTCTGCTCCAGGGATATGTTTGAGCTTTCTTTGGGTCCTTAAGTGAAAGCTTAAACACTTTATATCCAAATGTGTTCTTTTTAGTATATTCCTACTAATAGACACTGTGGTTAATGAACTTCCATATTCTGTAACTTCTGTTTATAGGCACAAGGAAAAGTTTTGATCACTTGATATCAGACACAAAGGCTCCTAAAAGGCAAGAAATGGAATCGGGGATCACAACACCCCCCAAAATGAGGAGAGTAGCAGAAACTGATTATGAAATGGGTAAGAAACAAAGTTCATAAATGATCTAGATCACTGCAAGTAAGGTGGGAGAGTACATTAAAGCCATGTTTACTTTTCAGCCTTTTCTTAGACTCTTCACTATGAAATATAGAAATATTTGCTTTTTCAGAAGATAAGCTCTATGCTCCTTAAAATGACAATTATCCTGAACCTTATGTAAAAAGTAACCTTATGTATTATATACAGCATTGTAAATAGCTAGCCAAAGCTGCTGTATAGGTAGATAGTCATTCTATGTGATGTTTACATTGATAGTTTAAGTGTGTACTAAACAAAACAATTGCATTTTGGAAGTAACATTGAAATGTGTTAGGTGAAGTGGTTATCAGATGTTTGATTACTACGGATGATTGTGTCAATTCCATATCTTACTGCAGAAACTCAGAGAATTTCCTCGTCACAACAGCACCCACATTTACGTAAAGTTTCAGTGTCTGAATCAAATGTTCTCTTGGATGAAGAAGTACTTACTGATCCGAAGATCCAAGCACTGCTTCTTACTGTTCTAGTAAGGATGTCCCCTTTTTGAGATTTTTTCTCTCTCAAGTTTTCATTCCAGTCTACTATTACGAGGTCCTTAAATATTAAAAACATGAATAGAATACTGTCTTGTGCTTCTCACTAAAACACACAACAATTCAGCCACAAAGTAACAATGTTTATTTACTTTTTTGTGCTTTGGCAGGCTACACTGGTAAAATATACCACGGATGAGTTTGATCAAAGAATTCTTTATGAATACTTAGCGGAGGCCAGTGTTGTATTTCCCAAAGTTTTTCCTGTTGTGTAAGTATCTTCTTTTGATTTTTTAATTAATCTTTGTACCTCTCTGTCAAATGCTTTACAAAACCTTAGGAAGAGCCGGGCTCAGTGGCTCAGCCTGTAATCCCGCGCTTTGGGAGGCTGAGGTGAGTG